CATTTGTTGGGGTTTTCAACACAATCACGTCATCTGTGAATAAAGACAGTTTATCTCTTCTTTTCCAACCTTTATAACTTTCATTTTCTTTTCTTGTTTTATTGCATTAGCTAAGACTTCTAGTATGATGTTGAATAAAACTGGTAAGAGGAGACATTTTGACTTGTTCCTGATCTTAGGGGGAAAACATCTAGTTTCTCACCATTAAATATGAAGATAGTTGCAGTTCTTTTAAAAAGTGAATGTCCTAAGTTGAGGACATTCCCCTCTATTCCTAGGAGTTTTTATCATGAATGGGTGCTGGATTTTGTCAAATGCTTTTTCTGTATCAATTAATATGATCATATGATTTTTCTTTTTAGCCTGTTGTGGTGGATTACACTGATTGATTTTCAAATGTTGAACCAGCCTTGCATACATGAAATAAATCAACTTTGGCTATGGTGTATAATTCCATTTATACATTGTTGTATTTGAATTGCTAATATTTTGTTGAGGATTTTGTTTCTATGTTCATAACAGATATTGGTCTAGGGGCCGGCCCCGTGGCTTAGCAGTTGGGTGCTCGCGCTCCGCTGCTGGCGGCCCGGGTTCGGATCCCGGGCACGCACTGACACACCGCTTCTCTGGCCATGCTGAGGCCGTGTCCCACACACATCAACTAGAAGGATGTGCAGCTATGACATACAACTATCTACTGGGGCTTTGGGGGGAAAATAAATAAATAAATAAATAAAATCTTTAAAAAAAAAAAAAAAAACAGATATTGGTCTGTAGTTGTCCTTTCTTGCAATGTCTTTTTCTGGTTTGGGTATGCTGGACTCATAGAATGAGTTAAGCAGTGTTCCCTCTGCTTCTTTTTTTTTATTATTTTTTTTTCCCCCAAAGCCCCAGTAGATAGTTGTATGTCATAGTTGCACATCCTTCTAGTTGCTGTATGTGGGATGCGACCTCAGCATGGCCAGAGAAGCGGTGCATCGGTGCGCGCCCAGGATCCGAACCCGGGCCACCAGCAGCGGAGCGTGCGCACTTAACTGCTAAGCCACGGGGCCGGCCCCCTCTGCTTTTATTTTCTGGAAGACAATGTAGAGAATCAGTATCATTTCTTCCTTGAATGTTTAGTAGAATTCGCCAGTAAAATCACCTGGATCTGGTGCTTTCTTTTTTGGAGGGTTATTAATTATTGATCAAATTTCTTTAATAGGTATAGCCATATTCAGATAATCTATTTCTCCTTGTGTGGGTTTTGGTGGCCTGTGTCTTTCAAGAAATTAGTCCATCTTTATCTAAGTTATCAAATTTGTGGGCATAGAGCTATATGTAGTATTCCTTTATTATCCTTTTAATGTTCATGGGATCAGTAGTAATGACCTCTCCTTCATTTTTTTTTTTTTTGGTGAGGAAAATCAGCCCTGAGCTAACATCCATGCTAATCCTCCTCTTTTTGCTGAGGAAGACGGGCTCTGAGCTAACATCTATTGCCAATCCTCCTCCTTTTTTTTTTTCCCCAAAGCCCCAGTAGATAGTTGTATGTCATAGTTGCACATCCTTCTAGTTGCTGTATGTGGGACGCGGCCTCAGCATGGTCAGAGAAGCGGTGCACGGGTGCGTGCCCAGGATCCGAACCCGGGCTGCCAGTAGCGGAGCGCGCGCACTTAACCGCTAAACCACGGGGCCGGCCCTCCTTCATTTTTGACATTGGTAATTTGTATCTTCTCTCTCTTTTTTTCTTGGTTAGCATGGTTAGGGGTTTATTAATTTTATTGACCTTTTCAAAGAACCAGTTTTTGGTTTTATTGATTTTCTCTATTGTTTTGCTGTTTTCAATTTCATCGATTCTGCTCTAATTTTTTATTATTTTTTTCTTCTGCTTGCTTTGGGCTTATATTTTTCTTCTTTCTCTAGTATCCTGAGGTAGAATATTGTTATTGATATTAGATCTTTCTTCTTTTCTAATATATGCATTTAATGCTATAAATTTCCCTCTAAGCCCTGCTTTCACTGCATCCCACATACTTTGATATCATATTTTCATTTTCACTTAGTTCATAATATTTTTAAACTTCTCTTGAAACTCCTTCTTTGGCCCATGTGTTATTTAGAAGTGTGTTGAAGGTAAACACGGTATATTGAAGATTCTCTACTACTGCAAAAAGTGTGACTCCATTCAAATACCTGGACCTCAAACAGATGGAAGAGATATCCGTGTAGATATCAAAACTATTTCCAAAGAGTTATATTCAGAGTTTTACTTCCATCCCTATTCCCACCACCTTATTCCTTTCTTCCTCCTATAGGTAACCTTCTCAAAAATTAGTTCCCAAGTAGTCAGCCCTGGAGTTGGTGGGAGGTGGGAGGATGAGGAGTGCTTCTGAACTTATAGATCCAAGGAGAGGAAGCTATACCTGTGAGAGCTAAAAAATGTAGCCAAAATTCTAGTATTTGAATCACTCTATAATATATTCCTTATAACAGGGGCAGAACATACAGCAGTCAAGTGTCTCAGCTGGTAAGTAACAGAGGCCAAATCAAACTAGCTTAAACCAATAAAAGCTTATATAACTTGAATGCTCAAGGGTGATGTTGGATTTAGGCACACTGAATCCAGCCCTCAAACCATGTCATCAAGACATTATTATCTATCACCTCCCTCCTCTCTGCCTCCCCCCACTGCCTTGTCTGTTTCCTCTAGCTGGCTTTATTCTCAAGCAGGCTAATGTCATAATGGGGCAAAGATGCCACTGGCAGCTTCAGGCTGACACTCTACCAGCTTAGCAACTCCAGCAGAAGAATGTATTTCTTTCTCAATAGTTACAATGAAAGTCTTGGCCCATACCTTATCGGCCCAGATTTGGTCATGTGCCCATCCTAAACCAAGTACTCGCCCCTACTATATGTCTGGAGCTGAGTGAAGGGGGAAACCCACCAGAATGACATGGGCTGACAGTGGGGTTGCTCCCCAGTGGAAAATCGACGTATAATCCCAGGAGAAGGGGGAATGTATTTTAAGGAGGCAAAACACTGGGGAGACAAAAATAATGTATGTCCACTATACCTTAATTGGCTCCTTTGTTTTTTAAGAGGAAGGAGTCTTGTTTGGAATAATGAGTTTTACATTTTCTTAATGGGAAATGGGTTTTGTTGGGTTATTTTTGCTGAGGAAGATTGTCCCTGAGCTAACATCTGTGCCAATCTTCCTCTATTTTGTATGTGGGTCGCCGCCACAGCATCGCTTGATGAGTGGTATAAGTCCGTGCCCAGGATCCGAACCCATGAACCTCAGGCTGCGAAAGCAGAGCACGTGAATTTAACCACTCCACCACCAGGCTGGCCCCTGGGAAATGGTTTTTGAAGACCACAATCTGGATGTTGATGTTCTCTTTATTACAAGATTGTTATTGCTTCTAGTTTTTCTTTTAGTGCAGAGAGATAGGAAATATATTTTTAGAGAAACAAAAATAAATTTAGTTATATATCTAATTCAACTTTAACATTGCAAGGTTGTTACTTAACTTATTCAGTTTTATAGTGTTACATGTTTTCTTTTATACTAAAAGAAACTTAGTTCCTAATGCCATTAATGTAAATTCTTATTTCCTTTATTCTACAGTATACATGTCAAAGTTTTAAAATAATAACAGTATATATTATTATTATGTCTTATGGTTCATATTTCTTTATTGTTTTGATTTTTGACCTTAAGATATATCCCAAAGGGGGTAAACAGTCAAAATGCTATATTTTAAGTCACTTGAAATCATTCTTTTTATATGTGTGGTCATGCCGCCAACTATAAATAGGCAACTTCCTTGGCATCAGTTTGCTTTCAGCTTTTACAGATTGCTTTTTAAAACTATCTTTTCTTTAATTTTGGCTTTTAATTCTGGAAAAATTTACATGGCTCCTAAGTCAAAACTATTTCCAAAGAGTTATATTCAGAGTTTTACTTCCATAACTATTCCCACCACCTTATTCCTTTCTTTCTCCTATAGGTAACCTTCTCAAAAACTATTGTTTTTGGTTTATCCTTTCATTGTATTAAGAGTTTCAGAGGGGAGGTGTGCATGGTGTGGTCTAAGCAAGGCTTTCCATCTAGCAGGAGGGATAGATCACTGAGAGCAGGGAGCCAAGGCTCACTTGGGTGTACCAGGTTGTAGTGATGGGGGGGGCAGCAGGGGGAGACAGAGAGAAAGAGAGAGAGAGACAATTGTGCCACAGGGAGAGCAAGTCTCCTTGAAGCTGTGAAGAATGGGGTTAAAACCAAAACACAGAATCTATAACTATTTCAAAATTTAGAAAGTTAAAAAAACGAAGCATAAGACATCCAAACAAAACCAAGAGCACCCTCTGCTGGCCTCTGTTGGGCTGCACATCATCGGTAGGACCCCGACTTGAGAACTGCTGGGCCAGGGGTGCCCTACTGGGTTAGCTCAAATCAAGAAACGCACCTCCCAAGATGGGGAGGCCGGCGAGGCCCACACCAAAATTTCCTCTCTGCTCTCCCCAGCTCTCAAGTCCTGTGGACCCTGGGATATACGCTGACTCTAAATGTCTATGTTGCCACATCTTGGGAAGAAAGATCCTTATTTTCCCTCCTGGACCTCTTTTCCTGGCACAGAAAAGAAAAAAGCTAGAGTGATGCTTTCTATTGTCCCTTTGCCAAAGCTGTGACAGTAATGACACCACCCCAACTCTCAAGGCGCATCCTCACTCAGACAGCATGACAGTGTGAGGGGGCGGTGTGGAACAATGAGAAAAGGAGGCACGCTTCTCGCTTTTACCACTTACTAGCTGTGTGTCCTTGGGCCAGTTTCTTAACCTCTCAGAGCCTCGGTTTCCTTATCTGAAAAATAAGAATGATAGCATCCAATTCACAGGCTGTTTTTGGAAGCTTAAATGAGTGGTATGTGTAAAACTCCTATACGTGATGCCAGGACTACATATGGACCTCAATAAATAATAGCTACTACTACTATTATTATTTCCTTTTTGTTTCACAGGAAATTTGCAAGAATCCCCGATTTATTATTGGTGGAGCCAACAGAACCGACATCTGTCAAGGAGATCTAGGTAGGAGTGCCCCTCGGGTCATATCCAGCCTGACAATCAAGGGGTGATTAAAAGATGTGATCCCTTTACAGAAGTAAAGGGAAAATAGTCTGTTTTTGCTTTGAATGACTTTTGGGAGGAGGTTTTTATAACATTACTTTATGCTCATTTATCTATCTGCTGGTGATTGCTTCATTTAATTTCGCTTCCTCCCACATTTCTCATCAGTTCTTTGTCTTGTGTCACGGGAGGTGTGCTTCATTCCGCAGCCTCCCTCTAGAGTCTCGAGGACACTAACCACCCCACTCAGCAAGACAAAAGCTCTGTTTTCACTGTACCCATCCTCCTTAGAAGACAGCTCTGAAACTGTCTGTGTATCACGCATGTCCCTCAGGCACGTAGCATCCATGAACACACACAAAATGCAGTACTGAAAAGAGTGCTTTTACCTCGAACTCTTGTTTAAATTGCCCCAGAAGAGCTCCACATTAAAGGAGTCTTTCAGCAAAGACATTTGCCATGTGGATGAGCATCTGATTTTCTGTCTGTAGTTAGCTCTCTGTTCCATCAGACCTTCCTCTCTCTGGGCATCGTGTTCAGGAAGTATTATCCTGGGTGTGGACTGCGGGAAAGCTCTGTGAAGGGCTTGAGGGGAAAGGGCACCCAAAACTAAATGAAAGGAATTAGGCTTATTTGGCCCCAGAAAGAGAGGCTGAGGAGGTTTTGGGTATCTGGGTTCCTGCACGGGAAGGAAGGCTGCCGGCAGAGCCCTGGGCAAGCCAATAATCCGGAGCTTGGAACCAATACACTCTTTCAAAGGAGAGGCTGGCTGCTACAGGGGGGCCGGGAGGAGGGGGCTGCTGGCAGCTCTCAGCCTCCCCTCTGCAGACTCAAGGATGCTATCACATCCCGCACAGCAAAACAAAGGCCCTGCATAGCTTAACCCATCCACCTTAGAAGGCAGTTCTGTGACTGTCAGGGTACCAGGCTGCCCCTTAGGTGTTCACACACACTCACACACACACACACATACACACACACACAGCAAAATGTCGCCTCCAGCTACATATAGTACCGTGCCAGAAAGAAAGTTCAGAGAATAAGAAAATGTCTCCATCTCCTTCCATTGCCAGCGGTGTCTCAGTGCCCCCTATAGACTGGTTCCAAGGCAGCTGTCTAACTGTCTTTCCTTACAATACAAATCTGCTTGACTGATGGCTCTCAGATGCTCAGTCTCTGCTGAGGTCAGAAGGGGAAATGGACTCACATTGCAAAGGTATGGGGCAGGGTGGATTTCCTACAAGTGTTAGGAAGAACAACCCATTATGACCTACTGCTCTGTCTCCATTGAGATCCAAAAAGGAAGTGAGCTTACATTGCAGATGGAGGAATTGCCTACAGCCTTCAGGAAAACCAGTCAGGAAGGAGTAAGTTACCCTGTGGATTGCATTGTTAAGGGACTGCTGTCAGACTCCTTCCCTGGGTGGACCTGTCTGTAAGGTCAGATCTGGAAGAAGGACAGTGAGCCAAGTGGACCCCATTCTTCAGAGAAGTGGAGCAGCCAGCTGGGATTGGGTCTTTTTCTTCCCTCGAGGTGCAGGCCCCTCCTGTGACCTGTGCCCCATGCTTGCCTGCAGGGGACTGCTGGTTTCTCGCGGCCATTGCTTGCCTGACCCTGAACGAGCGCCTGCTTTTCCGAGTCATACCCCACGATCAGAGTTTCACGGAAAACTACGCTGGGATCTTCCACTTCCAGGTGAGGTCATGGGAGTGTAGTTCAGAGTGTAGTTCAGCTGCAGTCCACCCACCACTGGTCTCCTAGCCTTGACTTCCCAGTGGCTCCAAGAAAGGTTCCACCCACCCTCCCAGCCATGGCTGTGGGCAGTGACTCCCCTAAGGCCCCAAGCCTGTGAGGAAGTGGTTGTTTATCTCAGCCTCCCCAACCCCCTACACCTTCCGTTCTGCCCCAGAAAGGCAGGAAGACATCCTGTTTGCTGGTGTGGGTCTATTTTTGCCTCTCCAGCTGGCCAGCTGCTGTGTTATTACCCGCAGCCCTTCCCAAGCAGGTCCCTGAGACATTAGCACTGGGAATCTGTAGGGCCCTTTAGGTTGTAAAGGAAACCCCATCCACAACTGTGGCTCCTGTTTACTTGTTTCCCTTTAAGGCAGATCTGTACCAAGTCTATCACTCACCTCTTCTAGGCCCTGGATGAAAAGTCTGGTTAATCTGGGGACCAGGTTTCTGGTTTGGCCCAGAAATGAATCTTTTGGTTCCAGAATCAATTCAACCATTGGAAATGTTCTGGATCCAAATTGTCCTGGCATAGAGCCAAATTCCTGGGTGCCAGCCCAGAACTGAAGTGAGTTCCATGTGTGGGGATCTAGCAGATACTGGGGTTCCGAAGTGTCCATCTGTCTCCAGCCCTGAAGGCTCCTCATGTCCTGAGACCCACCCAAATCATCAGTTGATGAGCCTGCTGATCTCGTACCCCAGGACTGAAGGCCCCAGAAAAGGTCTTCTCTTCAGGTTCAGGGTCAGTGTCCTGCTGCCGTCCAGCATGGGTAAGCCAGCCAGGCCCTGAATTTTGTTTCTGCCCTGTGCCATCAAGCTGATACTTTCCCTCTGACATTTAAAGGATCTGATATCTAAAGGGCCATGAGTACAAAGATCAGAGAGATTTTTGCACTCTTATCAATAAGGGAAAAAAATGTCATTAGAAGGAAATTATACTACATTTGACTTTCTTCAGCTGAAAGCAATTTGTTCAAAAAAGAACAATATGCAGAATGGACATTATTGGACAATGTTCCTGCTACAACCAGAGTACACTCTGGGTCACTTTTGTCTTCCATGACAATCCTTCTTCTTCAGCGGCAATTTCTACCTTGTTTGTTATCAAGAAATTCACAAATCAATACATTACCTTCCCCTAGACCAATAGTTCTCAACCCTGCTGCACATTAGAATCAGCTGAGATTCCTACGAATACCGACATCTAGGCCCCACCCCAGACCTACTGAGCAGGAGAATGAAAATCCCAAATCCTCAGATATTCATGGAGCACCTACCATCCCCAGTACTAAGCTGGACTCTGCAGAAGAGACAAACTGGTTTGTAAGTCACTTCCAGCCTTCAAGGAGCTCAAAGTCCAGTTAGAGAAAGATTCACACACTCCAAACCCAGACTAGTATGAATAAGCACCAAGATGCAGAGCCAAGGAAATGGGACTGCTTTGGGATCAAAGAGACCTCTAAGGAATGTGAAGTAGGGACACACTTCCCAGTGGTAATCTGAGGATGTGACTCTGTGCTTGATGCTTCCGTGCAGTTCTGGCGCTATGGAGACTGGGTGGACGTGGTTATTGATGACTGCCTGCCAACTTACAACAATCAACTGGTTTTCACCAAATCCAACCACCGCAATGAGTTCTGGAGTGCTCTGCTGGAGAAGGCTTATGCTAAGTAAAGCAACACTTTAGAATGTGAGGCAGGGCTAGAGGTGAGGAGGTGGGCTACAAAATCCAGCCGAGGACTCACTCACAAGAGGAGGCATGTGTCTACATGTGTGCATACATGTATGCATGCGTGCGTGCATGTGTGTGTGTGTTCAACTGGGACCCAAAGTCAGAGAAGATCAGGTCCAGGGAGCAATGGCTCTAACTAAAAACACTATGTTTAAGAATAAAAATGAAGGGGCTGGCCCAGTGGCGTAGTGGTTAAGGGCACGCGCTCCACTGCAGCGGCCCAGGGTTCACAGGTTCAGATCCCAGTTGCGCACTGATGCACCGCTTGTTAAGCCATGCTGTGGCAGCATCCCATATAAAGTAGAGGAAGATGGGCACGGATGTTTGCCCAGAGCCAGTTTTCCTCGGCAAAAAGAGGAGGATTGGCGACAGATGTTAGCTCAGGGCTAATCTTTCTCACGAGAAAAAGAAAAGAATAAAAATGAAGACGTGTAGGAAATCTTTAGTTTTAGCTTCCCAGAGTGAGCTCTTTAATTCTGCCTTCATGGTGGCGTTGCAAGTCCTAGATCCAAGCATTATATCTCTGGAGTTCAGATCCCAGGGTCTTGCTTGGCTCAACCTCATGAGTTGTAGAATATTAATAAAGCCATGTTGTCTCTCAACTTAGAAGCCCCACCCCAGCTACTAATGGCTTTAATAGAGCCCCACCTCAGAGTTCAGGGTATAGTGGAAAGAGAACTGTCAGGAAGTGGGAATAGCTAGGTTCTGGTCCCAGTGCTTCTGGCTCTCTGTGGCCTTGGGTGAGTCATTTAGCCTCTGGAGCCCTGTTTCTCCACCGTGAAGAAATGGAATCATAGTACCTATCCCATTAGCTTACAGAGTTGTTGGAGAATTGGATGAGAGAACGTCACAGGATCCACAAGTAAAGTTCTGGTGGCAATGGTGCCTGGGTCATATTTCCTGGAACCCTGTGACCCCAGGTTGGTCTTCCTCTCTCCGAGGCTCCACGGTTCCTATGAAGCCCTGAAAGGTGGGAACACTACAGAGGCCATGGAGGACTTCACAGGAGGGGTGACAGAGTTCTTTGAGATCAAGGAAGCTCCCAGTGACATGTACAAGATCATGAAGAAAGCCATCGAGAGAGGCTCCCTCATGGGCTGCTCCATTGATGTAAGTCTGGGGTGTGGCGTGCAGGGCAGGGAGCAGCCAAATATAGGGAAGCCTTACCCAATGAATAGCAACGTGGGGCTTTCTTCTGGGACAGGGTGAATGTTTTGTTTTAGGAAGCAGGAACTGGCTCTCAACTTTCAAAATTGGGAATTCCTCAAGGGAAAAGAGTTCCTGGAGATCAACAAAGAGATTGGGCAAGGACATATCAATCTGGAATATTGGAAATAGGTCCAGAGGCCTATGTCAGTGCGGGCCTCTGTGCCCAGTGCTGCTCAGTCCCAGCATGCCCCCATTAAGCCAGCCACATACTTGGCTATGGACCTGAGCCTACCAGTTCTCTAAGAAAGCTTCCCAGTCATTGAGCATTGATTGTATCTCTCACCTGGGACATGGGCTTTGTGTTGTAATCTGCGAGAAGCTCAGCCTGCGGTCCCCCTCTCAGTGCAACAAAGTGGTGTGAACTGAGACGGGAGCCAAGGCTAAGGAGATGGCAGACTGGCCAGGCCTCCTGTGTTTCAGGAGACACACCTGCCCTGGGGGCTGCTCAGTGTTTAATAGCTTTGGCGCTTTCCATTCTTGAGGAAGGGGCCCAAGCTGAATTCCTGTTCCTTCCTCTCCCAATACTCCTAATGGGTAGGAAAGCCTGGGGAGATCAGTTAGCATAAAACACCCATAGATGAACATTTTCTTTCTGTATCATTTTTCTCCATCTTTTCTCCATTCATGGTCTGTTTCTCTCTCCTGTTTTCCTTTGTCTGTCCCCTCTCTTCCCTCTGTCTCTTTCCTTTCCCATCACCCTCATTTGTTTGCTCTCTCTCCCTCTCCTGGACTGTCCCCTGCCCTTCATGTCGGACCTCAGGATGGCACAAACATGACCTATGGAACCTCTCCTTCTGGGCTGAAAATGGGGGATTTGATTGAACGGATGGTGAGGAATATGGATAACTCACGGCTCAGGGACTCAGACCTCATCCCCAGAGACTCAGATGACAGACCAAGCCGGGTGTGTACACCTCCAATTGTCCAGACCCAATTGACCATCCCACCTACGCTATTGGTGTCAAACTCCCCTCAGCAGCCAGTGCCTTACACACAGACCCCCACCGGGCCTCCCAAGGGTCTGGGTTGGAATAACTTGCCTGTTCCAAGGCTCCTGAAAAAGGTGGGAGAGACAGGATTTGGAGAGAATCTCTGTGGGACTGCCTTTATACTCCATGGTCCAGGCAGTTTCTCTGATAACAAATTAACAGGCAGAAATACAGGTGAGACTTCAATTATTTTAAAATATTTCTCCTCTCCTAATTCATTCATTTATTCATTTAGCACATATTTATTGAGCTCCTACTGGGTGCCAGGCATTCTTATGGGAAACAAAGAAAATTCTCTCCCCTTTTCACTATTCAAGTAAATAAAGCAAAGTCTCTCCCCTCATAGAGTATTCATATTCTAGTTCTTTCAGAAGCAATACATGCTCAGTGACGAATACTGAGCCATATAGTAAAGCAGAGGAAAAATTAACCTACATTTTCCCCATCTAAAGATAATAACTCTTAACATTTGGTATATGTCCTTTCAGCATTTTTCAATGCACACAATCTAAATTTTTATTTTTAAAATGTTGTCAATGGTATGTACCTCTTTGCAGCATGCTTTTTTCCAGTTAACTTTATATTCTTATGTGCCAATAAGAATTATATTCTTTTTTTATGAGAATTATATTCTTAATGTGTCTCCCATAACATTTTTTAGTGGCTGCACAATATTCCAATGTACAGATGTTATTATTTATTTACCCAATACCCTATTCTTGGAAAATTAGATTGTTTTTCTGATTTTGGCTATTATTTTTAAATGCTATAATGAGCATCCTAATAGATAAATCTTTGTGTACATCCATGATGATTTCCTTAGGACAGACTGCCAGCAGTGGAATTGCTAGGTATGCACACGTAATGCCAAAAGACTCATTTCAAATGGTTTCCCAGGTCTAGAACTGAGGGATTCATGAGCCTCCTGCCCGCTCCCTTTCTACTCAGCGTGATCTAGGTCATATGAAGATTGAGATCGGGAAGAGGCTGATGCCAAAAGCCCAAGCCCCACACACACCCCTCACCTTGAAAAGGGCTCCAGGAATTCCACAGCCCAGCACGGCTTTGGGAAGCTCCTCTTAAAGCTGTTAACGTTATGAGGCAAAGTGAAGCCACAGAGATCCCGTCCAGGGCTCACTGGGCTTTGGTGATCCTACCCCTCTGCCAAGGATTTCCCACGGCTGCAACTTGGAAATCTCTGCAAATGGCAGAGCTACCCTTACGCACAGTCATGTCCGAGCAGGACTCTCCTCTGTCCTCCTCAGAATTCTCTCCTTGGGCACTGTGACTCTTGATTTCTTGAACATCATGTTCTAGGTGGGTGTGGAGGAGGTGAGGGGATGTAAAGAAAAGGGTCAGACCTATACGTTTCATCTAACCCCTTTTCTCAATCCTTCTCTTCCAGGAACAGTCAACCCTGGGTGGGCTCAGGGGAAGGGGGAGCCAGAGTCCAGGGCAGCCTCCATCTGTCTCTCTTCCTCCTTTGAAAGGCCCTAAGGGATCTAGAAGGGAGGGGCTCTCACCCACCTCGCATCCCATCCTCTATGTTGCTCTCCGATGGTCAGACAGACCTTTTCAGGGCAACCAGCTTGAGGGAACCCACTTGTCTGGGCTGTGTCTTCTTGACTCTTAAGTCTTAAGGGGCCAGTGAGTGTCTTCTCAGGATTGGGAGAGAGAGTTTCAGGGAGTGGAGTAGTCTTCGTCCTCACAGAACCCAGAAAATAGAACCAGTATGAACTTTATCTCAGGCAGCAGAACTTCTACTCCCCAGCCCCTGACAAGCTGTCGGGTTTTCGCTCCACAGACAATTGTTCCGGTTCAGTATGAGACAAGAATGCCCTGTGGGCTAGTCAGAGGCCATGCCTACTCGGTCACTGGGCTGGAGGAGGTAAGCCTGGTGGGGCTTGGCAGGACGGGACTTGAGGAGCTACTTGGGTAGCTCCCGCAGTCAGGACTTAGCTTTCTGTGTCCGTGCGTATCTGCAGAGCTTGCCTCCAATCACGGGGTCCACTCAAGGCTCAGGCTAAACGCCAAACACCTGGCACCATTGGGACTGGTAGAGGTGGATCTTGCCACAAGATGGTGCTCAGTTGATCTTCGTTTTAGTGCTGAAGTTGGCAATTTTCCCAGCATTTCCAAGGAACACATAGAAATCACTTTGTTTTTGATTGAAATTGATTTCACGGGCTCTCCTGTTTCCTGTTCTATCACAGTTACAATGTTTTGCTCCCACTGGGATGTCTGGCCTTTACTGGGTCAGGTCATAGACAGGAACCTTGTCAGGCCTGTTGCACACAGTTGGGCAGGTTGTGCCCTGTTCACAGGGATGGGCAGAGAGGGTCATTGTCTGCAGCAGCCCACACAGCAGACTAGAGGAAGAGGCACCTTTTTCTGATCGGTCCATCTAGAGGGGACATTTGTCTGTAGTTCCTCAGCCAGCAGGGATGTTTTTTTCTAACTCATGCAAAGACACCTAATGTGCTAGTGGGGCCTACAATATATGCCCTGCCTCCTCCCCCAAAGCTCATCATGGCCAGATGTTTGCTGGGAAAATCACTTCTTAGAAGATGGCAAGGCAATGGTCAAGCCCTGACTCCTGTGGACTCAGTCCTAAGGTTGTGACTCCTCACCCTGCCATTCCATGAGGAGCTTCTGATTAGTCTCCTTAACCAGAACCAAGCAGGACAGCCCCCTATATGGAATCCTCCCCCTATCCCAGTCCCAGCCCTCAGGGCAAAATAGAAGACTCCCTTTCCAGAAAGGGCCCAGAGTGAGAGAGCTTCTTCTCTTTGCCCAAGGCCTGGTTCAAGAATGAGAAAGTGAAGCTGGTGCGGCTGCGGAACCCCTGGGGCCAGGTGGAGTGGAATGGCTCCTGGAGTGATAGGTAGGTGAGGAGATCCCACCAGTAGGGGACAACAGGGCCTGGGGCAAGGCTGGGTTGAGTACTGAGCCACAAGAGTACTACAAATGCTTGGTCTAAAATTACCCTCAAAACCAATGATCTGCAGAGGAGAAGAGGGGATGTGGGCTTCAGGGAACAGTGGGGAGCAGAGCCAGGGGAGCCTGGGATCCAGAGAGCTTGTTGATGGCCACTGGCTGGAAAGGAAAGATTCTAGAAAGCGTGGGTTAGGTCCAGGCGGGAGGGGAGTCTTAATGCTAGGGTGTGGACTGAACAAGTGGCTTCCTGTCTCAGTGTCTCTGTTGCCTTATCTGTAAAATGGGAACAAGATTAGCACTTACCTGGTGGGCTGCTATGAGGAAAAAATGTGATGGTGTCTGGAGAGCGCTTAGCCAGTGCTAAGATTTCCTGTCCCTCACTGTGCCCATAAGAAGGTGAGTTCAGGCCCTTTGAAAGAACTTTACTGCTTATCACTGAGAGCAACAGACTGGGGGCAGCAAAAATAACAAACATGAGGAAGTGAGTATGAAGGCTCTAGAACATTTATGAAGCCTTTATCGCCCCACCCCAATCATTGGAACCTGATTGCCTCAGTGAGTGGAGGGCAGCCCCTTGAGCTCCTCTTTTATTCCCGAGAAGGGACAGCAGGACTCAGTATCTGAGAAGGACCACACCTAGGCTGTGTGTGCCCTCAGCCCCTGTGCTTACCTCGACACACCTCTCATCCCAGAGCATCATAATTACTAATTCATTCGGCCATTCATTCACTTAGCAAGTATTTATGAGCACCTGCTAAATAGCAGGCACAGGTCTAGGCACTGGAGATATTCCATGAACAGGCAGCCTCCCTGGATAGACTGCGATAAGGTGCTGATCCTTCTCTCCTTACTGTCTCCTTCACTTTTCCATGCGACAAATTCTTACTTTCTCAGTGCTGAGTATGTGCCAGGCCTCCTGCTACTGTCTGGGGACTTAGAAATGAACAGAGATACAGGCCCTGCCCTTGCAGACTTTAAGGTCCAGTGGGAAGGACAGACAAACAAACACTAATAATTACATAAGAAAAATGCTATGGTAAGGGTCACAAAGAGGGAGTCCCTCTCCTAGTTTGGGTGGGACAGGAAGAGTAGAAAAAGGTGGCCTGGAGGAAGTGGCATTTGAACTGGACTCTCTGCTCTGGGAAGACCCTTGGTGCCCTATTGGTTGTCCACTCTACTGGCCAGAGTCACCCTCAGGGACCCTCGCTGTGTTCTCCAGTTGGTGTCCAGTCTTAACCTACTTCCTGTGAATGCCTCCATCACAGGGATGGCTGATAAGTGGCGCCCAGCCCTTGGTCACTTAAGGAGACTCCTCTCCCCCCAGCCCTGCATCCCTCCTTCTGGTCTCAGGAATCTCCATTTCCCCTCCCGCATCCCTTGACTCCAAGCACTTCCCCAGTCCCTTACCTTTCCAGGGACAACCCAGTTTCAGTTCATTCTCCCTCAGTGTGCCTGAAACACAAATGTGCTTTATTTCCTCCTTCTTTGGGAGAGAGGGTGTATAAAACTTCCCAGCCTTCAAAAACACAAAGCTAGGCTGTTCCTGGGGTGGCAGGAGAAAGATGTTTACAGGCTTGGTCTTTTTCTTAGTAACTCAGTTACTTTTTCGATGACAGGCACTGTTCTGAAAGGTTTGCATCTATTATTTCCTTTATTGCTCATCACAGCCCTGTGAGTAGATGATATATTAATTCCCCTTTTGCAGTTGAGAAAACAGAAGCTGAGAGAGGTTCAGTGACACGCCCAAGGTTGCATAACCAGTACTGGTATTATCAAATTGGAATCCCAGTTTATCTATTTCCAGAGCCCAACTCTTAACCTTTAAAGTGTGAGGAGGGGTAAAAAAATTCAGCTAGAAAAGGGCCAAGCCCTTGTAAACCCACTGAAGGAGTTTGGTCTTAATCCTGAGGATGGTGGGAAGCTATTATTGGTTTTACACTGAGGGTATCAGATCAGGTTTGCATTTTGATGGTTCATGCTGGCTACAACCGGAGATGGGCTACTCTTTGAACTTCATATTTCTCTGATGCCTCCTGTCCCAACCCACATCAGGCCTTCCCTTCTCCTCCTTCTATAATTCCTCCATTTTCCCTCTAGTTGGAAGGACTGGAGCTTTGTGGACAAAGAAGAGAAGGCCCGTCTGCAGCACCAGGTCACTGAGGACGGAGAGTTCTGGTGAGTCCAGGACCCAGGAGGACCCCAAAGGATAAGCGAGGGGTTGGGGAGCTGAAATCTCAAACCTCAGTCCCTGGACAGAGGCCGTCCCATTCTAGCCCTGAGGAGACCTGGGCCCTGTTCTCCTCCAGCCGGAGGCCCAGCAAGGCTGAGCTTCTGAGAGGAGCCCGCCAGGTCCCGGTGACAACTGAGCCCAGGACCAGGCCAGCATGAAGTGGCTCCTGCCTCACCTGTGCCCCTCTGCCATGCATGCTGCTCCAGCCGCTTGCTCCCTGGCCTTCCCAGAGCTGTTTTCTGAACGTAGGAAACTCTACTTACTCTGCTTTCCCAATGCCACCCTCACGCTCACTCAAATCATTTCACTCAACCTTCAAGTCTCAGCTTAAAGAGAACTTTCTTTGGGACCTCCTTGTTTTCCCCAGGACTGGGATTAATTTATTTGTGATACCCATCACTCTTAAAATTGGTTGCTTAATTGTCTGTCCTTCCCCAACTCTCTCCCTTTCCCCCGTGCCTAGCACAGCGCGTGGGCCCAGCAGAGGGGCACACGGTAACCCTTTGGAGAACTGAATTGCTGCAGAGCTCTCCCATCAAGGACACATGAGTTTGAGTCCTTATTGGAAGAGATGAGTTTGGGGTGGATACATCAGAGCTGACAGTGTTTCCCTAAAAAGGAAGGACAAGGTCCTCTCTGGGACCATGACCAAGTTCCTCTGGACTATTTTATTGTGCTGTTAGCCCTGGAGTCTTACCTTTCCCAGCCTCCCACATGGGTCTCTCTTCTTCCAACCTCTCAGGATGTCATATGACGATTTCATCTACCATTTCACAAAGCTAGAGATCTGCAACCTCACAGCCGACGCCCTGGAGTCTGACAAGCTTCAGACCTGGACCGTGTCCGTGAACGAGGGCCGCTGGGTGAGGGGCTGCTCTGCCGGAGGCTGCCGCAACTTCCCAGGTGGGAGATGCTCTGGATGGGGGAAGGGTCCAAGCAGAACAAGTTCCAGGTAGAATAATATTAATAATAATATAATGATATTATTATTATATAATAAAATAGCATTTGCCGAGTCTCTACTAAGTCCCAGACATACATTATCTTATTAAACCCTCCCCATTTTATTGATAAGGAAACCGCCATGCTGAGGAACTTGCAATAGGAAGCTTGTAACAGCTTTTTAAGGCAGCCGTAGTGGTCTAGTAGTTAAGATTTGGCACTCGCACTGCCACGGCCCGGGTTCGTTTCCCAGTCGTCTGTCGAGGGCTGTCTCACTAGGAGTCGGAATCAACTCCACGGCACTAACAACAACAAAACAGCTTTTAAGGAGGACACTGTGTCAGAACAGTACTCTGTTCGTAACGCTGCTGGAGGACCGAGTTAGCAGCTACTGTAAGAGTTCAAGCCAGAGAAGACGAAAGTCTAGGCCAAGTCAGGATAAGCACAGATGGAGGAGACAGGGCAGATTCAGGGGAGAGAATACTGGGTGATGTGTGGAAGGAAGAATGAAGAATGACTTCAAGATTCCCAGTTTGGGACCCTGAATGGATGGTGTCAATGTCACAATATAAGACACACAAGAGAAAAAAATCAGTGTGTTTTTGGGGGGGTTGATTGTGGGCTGGTAGGGAGGGGAGTTTAGTTTGGGACACAAAGTTTGAGGCACTTATAGACTATCCAAGTGAAGATGTGTAATAGAGAATTGAATGCACACATTAAAACAGTACTTGGTTATATGATAGGGAGTCAATATGTATTTGTGGAAGGAAGGAACAAAGGATGGAAAGAAGAGAAGAAGGAAAGAAGAAAAGAAAGAAAGAAGGGAGAGAAGAAGGGAAGTTAGGAAGGGGGTCAAAAGAGAGATTGAGGCTGGGATCTACAGCTCAGACATCAGCAGCATGTAGCGAGCAGTTAAAAAGTGGAATTAGATAAGACAGCCTAGGAGAGCAGCATGGTGGGGTTAGAGAAGAGGCCTGGGATCAAATCCCAGGGACCAACTACATTTCAGGGGCAGGCGAGGAAAGTGAAGCCATCAGCAAAGACTGAGAAGGAAAGTTCAGAGGGGAAGGAAGAGCCACACAGCCAATCAGTGCAGCTCCGTCTGTATAAAGATATAGGCTACCTGTACCTAATAATTAGAAAAATTACTTTATCTATTTAAATAATTAGACAAATAATTAGACAAATGCCTGAATCATTCCTTCCATATTTGTTGAGCACCTGGATGCGGGAGATAAAGATAAATAGGTTCCCTCCGTCTCATTTCCCTTCTTGATCTTTCTCGGGAGAGGCAGATCTGAACGTACGTTTCCTTTCTGGGGGCACAGACACTTTCTGGACCAACCCGCAGTACCGTCTGAAGCTCCTGGAGGAGGACGATGACCCCGACGACTCGGAGGTGATCTGTAGCTTCCTGGTGGCCCTGATGCAGAAGAACCGGCGGAAGAACCGGAAACTGGGGGCCAACCTCTTCACCATCGGCTTCGCCATCTACGAGGTGCGTAGTCCCTGCCGAGCTTCAGCCCAGGAAACAGACACCTTCTCAAGGAGGAGGCTTGCGGGGACTTCCAGAAGGGTCCTCTGGCTTCCCCAATACTCAGCGACCCCCCAGAACTCCTGGTATCAGGCCCACTTGTGTCAGAACCTCTTCGATGTTTGTAACGAGTGGAAAAAATCCAGGCTGGGGGGTGATGGAGTGGGCAGGGCTGGCCGGGTAGGTACATGGGGAGTCAGACTTCAGCATTCACTCCACAATTGCTAGCATTCCCTTCTTGTAAGCTTCTCATCCCCATTCAGATCTGAAATCCACAGAATCTGAGCATCTTCTTTTTCTGTTTCTCCTCAAGGTTCCCAAAGAGGTAAAAAAATGGCAGCGGCCGACAGTTGTGTGCAGCATTACCTGGGGATCCTGTGTCTGTCTGTGGCACATCAGGGGGCTTCCCGGTGGGGTTTGTGGGCAGGATTATGACAGGAAAAGGTCTTGCCCTCATTACCCAACTCCAGGGCAGGTGCCTCAGGGTACTGCATGAGCTCCTGACTACCACCCTCATGATGTGCCCTTTCTCCCTTCCCACCCGAGATCGTCACACACATGTTCTCACACATCCATAGTCACTTATCCACACTCACACACACACACTTGCTCACACTCATGCACATTCACACTCACACACATAGTCACACAGACACATTCTGAGAGTGACTGCCCTCTTTGGGATGGAGGAATCGCCTCCCTCAGACCCCAGCCAAGGCCCCTCCTGCCTCCTTGGGGTCCTTCCCCAGCCTGGAGGTGATTCGGAGCTGACCAGCAGCAGTTCTGGTAAGTGGCCCCGAGTGGGGGAACGACAGACTTGACCTTCACTCCTGCATCACAACAGAAACGAAGAGGAAAGGGGGTGGGGAGCTCCAGGGATGCTGAGCTATTTGAGGCCTTGGGAATTGGAAGTAGGTAGGTCAAGACTGCGAACTGGGTGACCAGGGAGTTGGGAAGGGATCACTGGAGGGGACTGTGAGGAGGGGCTCAGGTCCCTGGGGCTCTTCTCCCCATCAGATGCACGGGAACAGGCAGCACCTGCAGAAGGACTTCTTCCTGTACAATGCCTCCAAGGCCAGGAGCAAGACCTACATCAACATGCGGGAGGTGTCCCAGCGCTTCCGCCTGCCTCCCAGCGAGTACGTCATCGTCCCCTCCACCTATGAGCCCCACCAGGAGGGAGAATTCATCCTCCGGGTCTTCTCGGAAAAGAGGAACCTCTCTGAGTGAGTCCCAGCCCCACTTTCCCACCTGTTCCTAAACGCCCACGTGGCCCATTATAGAGACTGGAAGCATGGGGCAGCTGGACTGCTCTCCTCCAGGGGTCCTGGGATACACTGACCAGGCTGCACCTTTTCCTCTGCTCCTGAGCCACTGGCCACATCTCCCCCATTCATTCATTCATTCATTCATTCATTTATTCATTCAGTCAGTCAATCAGTCAGTCATCCCACAGCTATTTATTAAGCACCCACTGTGTTCCAGGAACTCTTCTTCTAGGCACTGAGGATGGAGCAGTGAATTAAACAGAAAGTAATCCCCACCTTCATGGAGCTTGATTTTCTAGCAAGAGACAACAATGTACAGGAAAAGACATATACATAGTATATTAGAGTTAGATAAGTGATAAGGAGAAAAAATTAAGTAGGGAACAGGGATAGGATGTGTTGGGGTGACTGAACTTTTAGGTAGGGTGGCCAGGGAAGCCAGCAAGGCCACATCCTGCCCTCTTGGCCACCACAGATGAGTTCATAGGCCCTGCCACTCTGACCTCTGTCCCTGAAAGAAGCACAAGGTCTGTGGGTAGGTGGCTGGGTCATGCTTTTGGGGAGCTCTGGGCAAAGCCAACAAGAACCCGTGTGTCTGCCCTTGGCTTCTGGGGATGGTGCCTCATGGGGCTGGTTCCTGGTGTGGGGGATGTTAGTTCATGGGGTTCTCTTGAGGTCAGTCTCAATTTGGCTCCAAGAAACCAGGTGACCTGAGCAAATCCTCTCTGTGCTTCCTTGCTGCTGGTGACACTGAGACCCCTCATGTTTGTGTTCCTCACAGGGAAGTTGAAAACACAATCTCCGTGGATCGGCCAGTGGTGAGTGGTTTAGCTCTTACATGTGAGAAGGTCCAGTGGGTCACCTTCCCTGATCCAGGAAGGGGACAGGCGGGTGGTGGAGGGGAGACTGGGTATTGGCAGAGGGAGATGGGAGTCTGGAGGGTGTAGAGCAATTATTCCATGTTACCGCAACTTCTGTTTGGCATGACCGGAAGTAATGGGCCTTATGTCCTGGAGCCATTTAGTCAGTCCAGGGGCTGGGAAGTACAGGAGAGAGTCCTAGAAGGGAGAAGCAGTTTGAACAATTAGAGGGAGAGGTCAAGGCCATAGGAAGGGAAGACAAGAGCAGCAGCTAACATTGGATTATGAGGTGCGACCTCATATAGAGAGTCTGGAGTCAGCATCAAAACCTGGGTCCTCCATCTACCAGCTGGGTGGCCTGGACAAGTTACATAACCCCTCTGACTCAGTTTCCTATTCTGTAAAATGACTCTTGCAAGGCTTTTGTGAGGTCTGAATCAATGAGATCATGTGTGTGAAGTGTCTGGCACAGCATGGGCCCTTAAACGGTGGTTATCATTCACATGTTGTCTATCTTACAAGGTACTTCTCACATGTGTTATCTCACTTGATCCTTGTGAGGTTTCTGAGATGTAATAAGGTTATTATTCCTGGTTTTCAAGTAAGGAAGTGGAGGCTCCTTGGGGTTAAATGGCTCCCTCGAGTTCACAGAGCTCATAAGTAGCAGGGCTGGAACTCACATCCAGATTCTCGGAGCCCAGACTCAGGCTCCTTCCCCCACTACCACACTGAGACCTGTTCCCGGGGGTGTGAGACCCAGAGTTAGAAGCACAGAGTTGGTGTGTTTGGGGTCTCCTTGTGTTGAGGAGTCTTGTGACTGCCTTGGGGCTTGGGCCCTGGTTAGTAAACAGTCCCTTGTGCCCTATGGGTGTGAGTCGGGCCAATAAAAGGACAGCAGTGCCCTACTGAACTGTCTTCTGGGTAGTGGTGCCCACGGTTCTAATCCTGACCCTGTGCCAGTGCCAGATCTTCTGGTGCCTTCTGAATTATCACAGACGTTGGTTTTAGTATTAAGTGCATTTGGTTCTATTCTTATCTTTTGAACGTTGGTAATCCGTGAGGAGTATTTATCAGGAGTTGCAAAAAAGCTTATGGGAGCTGGCATGTCACCTAACTGAGTAGACCTGGTAGCTCTGGGGGTTTTGGTGTCCCTAGATATGCCTGCAGTTTCTCAAGTGACACTTGGCTTCCGTGTTGGAGGGACAGCTGGAGTGGTGGCGACTGTGGCAATCTGGAGGGTGCAGAGAGCAGCTGCTCTCAACTCCCCAGATTTTTGCCACAGGGGGTCGAAGGCCCGTGCAGCCTCAGACTTTCTAATTTTACAAAAGAAGCCCAAAACCTGGATTTCCATATTAAGTCTCTCCCTATGTTAAATATTTGCTAAAAGACAAACCAAAACTCTACAAATCAAGGAAAATTCATTTTCAGGCCAGTTTGGGTGAGCCACTATTTTGGTGTTTTAGTAACCAACTTCATTAAGAAATACAAAACAGCCAGAAGATCCCTTTCCTTGGCCATGTCCAATAACAGAGTGGTCTATAAAAACAAAGCCGTAGCAGCCACCGGTCACTGGGTCCGGAGAACTCTCTTTTCCCTTCACCCTCCAGCCCCTTTTGGCTCCATGTGACCTGGATTTCTGGACCCTGGAACCTCACCCCAAGCTGAGGACCAGGTGACAGGGAAGCCAAAAGCCACTAGCTTTTCACTTATTCTGCATTTACTCTTTCCTTTCCTTGTGCAGAAAAAGAAAAAAAACAAGGTGGGTGTAACGGGGTGAGTGGGTAGACAGCACGGAGTGTGTTGGTGCATGTGTGTGTGCGAGCGTGCGTGCACCAGACCCGCCCCTTCCCCGCTGCCCACTACCTCCATCCCTGAGCTCCTGTCACAGCCATAGGTGCGGAACAATGATAGCTAACACTTGCTGAGTGAAGGCTAGGTGCCAGGCCCTCTTCTGGGTGCTTTCCATGGATAACTCAATCCTCGCAACACCCTGTGAGGTTGGTACTATTATCAGCCCCATCTTGAGAGGAAGAAAAGGTACAGACAGACTGACTAACTAGCCCAAGGCCACACAGCCAGAAAGTGGCAGAGCCAGTACTTAGAGCCAGGCAGTCTGGCCCCAGAGTGAGTGCTCTAGAGAACCACCATGCTACACTGCTGGCCTCTCACATAAGGGAGGAGAGGATGCCCAACCGGGAAAAATGGGCCTGGCGTGGGGGTCCTGCAAAAACCACGAGGAGCACCTTTTCTTTCTCAGAAGTCTGTTTGGCTTTGCTAATCAAGGTTTGATATTTAGAGGGGGATGGCAACTGGTTCTGTTCCTCAGGGTACAGTGAGAGTCATGTAAGGGTTTCCACGGAAAGCGAGGGTCTTGCGATGCCAACCTCCTGCTCTGTAGACAGGACAGCTCCTTCTCCCTCCTCTCTTCTCCCTGCCTGCTCCCCACTTCTCCTTTTTCTCAGCCTTCTAGGGAAGGGGTGGCAGAGGACGCCCAGCAAGGCTAAGTCGTTGCCAGGGCTCTTGTTCCAGGTGAAGCCTGTTGCAAATTCCCTTCTAGGAGCAACCTCTCACTCCGAATGCAGCCCCCCCTCGAAGTCATGGGCCCTGACGGACTCTGCTTGCTGCCTGTGTCCAGATAGCAAAGGCGGAAGAGGGACCTCCACCCTCCCAGACCTGGAGGAGCTATTCAACTTGACTGGTTTAAGGGGGAAGAAGGAATGAGAGCTCCCTGGGCAGCTTCTGCTCCTAGGGTCCTGGGTAGTTGCCGTCCTCCCCTGAGTCACCAGGGCCACTAATAGTCCATCCTGGGTGTCCTGGTTGTAACCACTCTGCTGTAAGGACAACGCTGTTGAAGGTGACCATGTGTGCTAAGAGCATCTCAGCAGCCTCAGAGCAAAGCTTTCATCTGGGACCAGGGACACTGCGTCCTCTCTGTGGTTCTGGAACTTAAGATTAGTTATTTAGCAGCTCAAACTCTCTTGTACTCCATCCTCGCTCCATTTACCCCATAACTTCCCCGTGGTCTCCAGGGCAGTAATGCCTGCAATAATGGCTTCCCCTTGTAGAATTTTGGCTTGACCACCCAGAGTGCCATCCAGAAATGACTGACCTTTGGGCATCCTCGAGCCCACGGAGAGTAGCCACAGGCCATCAGACAAGGTTGGGTGTTAGTGTTTATGGTGGGGTGCTCCCAGTACTGGTGCTGGTGCAGACCACAGCTGACCATCAAGCACCATGAGTCAGGCACTGTGCTGGGGGAAAACACACGTTGTTTTCAGTTACCACAGTATCTACAGCATAGGTGCTGTTACTATTTATTCCCCTTTTACGGGGGAGGATAAAGATTCAGAGAAGCGGAGGGACTTGCCCAAGGATACATGACTAATGAGCGAGGAAACTGGAACTGGAAACCACACCTATCTGTTCCAAAACCCATGTTTCTTGCCCTCACCTCTCTGGTGCAGGCCCCTTAACACCGCAAGGCCCGTGTTGTCCAGACCCACACTTCGGCCCAGAGATGTGTGTCCGGCAGGGGTGCCCCATAGTCACACCACGTCCATGGGCACACATGCTCCCTCAAACTATGACCTACACTTGCTATGGGATCCCCACAAGCATCAGTTGCATGAGCAAGACCCTTTGCTTAGAAGGCAGAGCAAGCCAGGGCTTTTGGGGCAACCAGGAGCCACAGCCGGAGGATCTGTTTCCACAGATCTGTCCATTCGCGTTGTCCTAGATGAACAGTTGTGGAAAGGCAGATGGGGACTTGGAGACCAGGCGGGTTCCTTTTCTGCTCTGAGAGACTCTGACTGCCCCACTGCTCTCTGCACTGCAGCCACCAGACCCTACAGCCTGCGATTCCTCTGGCTTTCCCTGCAGGCTGTTCAGCACCAGCCAGGATTTGCATAGCACTGCAGCCGCTCTCCACCCTTTCGTATCCTCTTCACTTGCATGAGCATGACTTGAAAATATCCCTCATATTTGTGTAGCATCTTAAATGTTTTTTTCTTTAAAGATTTTATTTATTTATTTTTCCCCCCAAAGCCCCAGTAGATAGTTGTATGTCATAGCTGCACATCCCTCTAGTTGCTGTATGTGGGACTCGGCCTCAGGATGGACGGAGAAGTGGTGCCTCGGTGCACGCCCGGGACCCGAACCCGGGCCACCAGCATCAGAGCGCGCACACTTAACCACCAAGCCACGGGGCCGGCCGGCATCTTAAATGTTTTTGCAGTGCAGCTGTACACTCAGTCTCTCATGTGATCCCCAGGGGAGCCCTCTGGGAAGGGCAAAGCAGGTTTTATCATCCGCATTAATGAAGGAGTAAACTGAGGCCAGGGAGGATATTTCTTATACATGAGGGGTGGGCTGGGATCCCAGCCCAGTGTTCTGACCTCTCATTCACTGACCAGGCCACTAATCAAAGTCCTTTTTCAATCTGTTCTCTGCAGAGTCCTAGAGGTCCCTTGCAGGTGCCTCAGTAGCTGCCATGGTGATATGGGAGTGCTGAAGGAAAAGAGCTCTGCCCTCTTCATCAAGCAAAGAAGCCCTGTTTTTAATGACTCTATATACACTGGGCTTCTGGGGAAATTTAATTTGAACAGTGTGTCCATTTGAAAAACAAGCCTACAAAATATTTGAAAATCACTGCACTAGATCACCCTGCTTTCAGCATTCTTAGCGTTTTCACATGTACTACCTTCCTTGTTGAACCCTCATAAATCTACCATGAAGAGATAAGGAACTGAGGTCCGGAGAGTCTTAGCATCTTTCCCCAAGTCACACAGCTTGTTAGTGGCAGAGACAGAGCTTGAACCGAGGTTCAAGAGCTCCTAACTCTGCTCTTTTCCTCTTCACTGGACAAAGCTGCTCCAAGAGGGAGGTTGCCTCCATGTGCCTGCTCGGCCTGTAATCTTTCTTCCTTCCTGCCCCCGCCCCACTTGCCTCCTCTCTCCAGCCCATCATCTTCGTTTCGGACAGAGCAAACAGCAACAAGGAACTGGGTGTGGACCAGGAATCAGAGGAGGGCAACTCAAGCCCTGATAAGCAAGAGAAATCCCCACAGGTTTCTGAGCATGTGGCATGAATGGGGTGGCTGGCACACAACCAGGGTCCTCCTATGCTCTTGGGGTGCTCAGGATTGGTGGGGTGGGGTGAGCCTTTAACATCTAGAGCTTTGGATTTGTCCCACTGACCTTTTCTCTCATCAAGTTCTAAAATTTGGGATGCTGCATGGGTGAGTATCTTGAGGTTGGCAGCCACCCCAAGCCCATCCCAGGCCTGGGAAGGACAGGCTGAGCCTCCCTGCTGGAGCCTATCCAGCCAGGCAATGAGGGGAGGAGGAGGCAAAGCCTGAGACACAACCACTCCTGTTTCCTGGTGTCAAGCTCCTGACAATGGAGGGATAAAAAACAGTAGTAGAGGAGGGCTGACATCAGAAATGGATCCTCCAGAGTTCAGGGGAGGGTGCTAGATGGGAGTAGGGAGAGGTGGTCACATAAAGCTTAGTGGAGGTGAGGCTAAGGGACGAATCAGACAAATCCAGGGCCACCTCCTCTATCCTGCAGTGCCATGCAATGGAGTGGGGATGGAGGGGGGTCCTCTGAGGACTTGGCCTTGATGACAGAGGCAGCTGGAGGTATCAAATGGTCTGGCCCCCTTTGTTCTGCTGGGGCTCATTTGGTTGGGATGGTCAGGCTCAAAATGGTGCAGAGGGCTCCAGCCGGTGGGGAGCGGGGAGAGGACCAGGGGGCTGTCTGCATGGCTAATCGATCTCCTCTGGTTGGGATGTCTGGGCTGGTGAGGTATGCAGTGAAGGGTCACTGGGGCCTAGATAGTTCTCACTCCAGCTCACCAGGTTCAACTAAGAAAGAAGAGCATGTGCCCCTGTACCCAGCTCCTGCTGCCACCTAGCGCTGTTTTAGGCACTATCTCCTTCAGCCCAGAAGGAACTTTCCTCATGGGTCTGTCCATCTTCCTGATCCCCGTGAACCTGTTTTCCTTCATGTTTCCACAGCCACAGCCTGGCAACACTGATCAGGAAAGTGAGGAACAGCAGCAATTTCAGAACATTTTCAGGCAGATAGCGGGTGACGTGAGTACCTCTGACCCCAACTCCCACAGATTCTCTCCTTTGATTAACTGCTCAATCTGCCATTTCATTATTGTCCCATCAAGGTCATTTTGGCTTTTAGTGGAAATAGGGCTATATGTGTATAGCATAGAAATCCACAAGTTGAGTTTTGGACCAACACATCCACTGGGTGGCTCAGAGGCCTTTTGCTCTGAGCTGCTCACTGCAGTCTGGACAACTGGAGATGCAGTATCTGCCTTCCTCAGAAGAGCCCCATCTTCCCCGTGACAGAATAGCATTGACAGGAACTTCATAAACACGGACAGCTGGGATTTGCTTTGCAAAGCCTCTGCTCCATCAGCTGCTGTACTCTTGAACTGTGACTCTCTATTCCTTTCCTCCTAGGACATGGAGATCAGTGCAGATGAGCTCAAGAATATCCTTAACACAGTTGTGAACAGACGTGAGTGGCTCAAACTGTATGTGGGGGATGGGCAGGTGTGCGTGTGTGTGTGTCCAGTTATATGAAAATAGCTCCTCGCTCTTCTCCATACCCCAGATAAGGACCTGAAGACACAAGGGTTCACGCTGGAGTCCTGCCGTAGCATGATTGCTCTCATGGATGTATCCTTCCTGCCACCGCTTCCCAACCCTCTGTCATCAGCCCCTGTGCAGCCTATGGGGGCCAGGGTAGCACTGAGAGGTGCCCAGTCAGGCAGAGGGGCCCAAATTTGTATCCAAGGAAACACTTAAGGAGGTCCTGAGTCAGAACATCCTGGTGGCTGGTGTGAAAGGAGCTGCTGGAGGTGGCACAAGTTGGGAAGGCCATTGGCCTCGCTCTTACCTCAGGCCTGGGATTCTGCCAGAGGCCCTGCCCAACAAAAGTGGTCCTTAGGAGGCAGGCTCTCTGGGGTATAAAGTAGGCACTAACTTTGATTGGGGAGGTATGGAGGAGAAGGTTAAAAACCAGGACAGCACAGTGGGCAGGACATCCTGGAGAGAGCCTTCCTATGGGGCTACCTTCCCTGCAGGGCCCCCCTAAAAACCCCCTCTCCCAAACCAGGGGGATTTTGCTATGTGTGCCCTGTAGCCTTGACCTCCTTCCTCCAGACAGATGGCTCTGGGAGGCTGAACCTGCAAGAGTTCCATCACCTCTGGAAGAAGATTAAGGACTGGCAGGTGGGATGAGAATGAAGCATGGGCGTGAAGGGGGGTTGAGTCAGGGGTTTAGTGTGTGACCTCTGTCCTCAAATTTTCTATTGCCAGAAAATTTTCAAACACTACGACACAGACCAATCTGGTACCATCAACAGCTATGAGATGCGGAATGCAGTCAATGACGCAGGTGCTGGGGAAGAAAGAGGGTGGCCGCGATGGGGACTGGAGCTGGTGGAGGCAGGAATGGCAGGGGAGAGCCAGACCACTAGAGTCCTACTAGAGAAGGAAGCAGAAAGGGTTTCTCATTTTCCTTTCCCAAGCCACAGAGTGGCCAAGAGGCAGGGAAAATAGAATGCAGACCTAAGGACTCCCACTCTACTTCCTCTCCTCACGTGCTGCCTCCACAGGATTCCACCTCAACAGACAGCTGTACGACATCATTACCATGCGGTATGCAGACAAACACATGAACATTGACTTCGACAGTTTCATCTGCTGCTTTGTCAGGCTGGAGGGCATGTTCAGTAAGTCAGGGGCTACTCGTCTGCTCTCCTGTGCCCTTCCTGCCCACTCTCCCACAGGGACAGCTGTGGCAGCGGGAATCTCAGCCTAATATCTTCTGATCGACTCCACCCAGGCTGAACAAAGGCGAAGGCCCTCTTTAGGCTCAGAATGGGATGGCAAAGGGAGGATTACTGGTGATACTCTGCCTAGCAGATTTGTGTGCTGAAGGACAGCACTTACCTCATGGTCCTCCTAAGAAAAGTTACAGTAGTGGAGGGAGAGTGGGCCTATAACTGGCCTCTGGCCTGTGCTTTCTTCCACACAGGAGCTTTTAAAGCATTTGACAAGGATGGAGACGGTATCATCAAACTCAATGTTCTAGAGGTAAAGCCTACTAGAAGCAGTACACTCCCTCTGTACCTTAAAATTCAAGGTGGAGGAATCAACGAGGCAGACCAGACCCACTGTGTGCCCCTCACTTCCAAATGGTGGAGGAGGGATGGGACAGGAAAGGAAAATAAGGGAAGCTCAGTACTGGGGGATGGCTTCAAAGAGGCCTCAGCTCCTCAAACAACCTTATACTAGAAAACATGTACCTTCCCAGGAGAGATCTGGGGGAAGGATGCAGTAAACTGCTGCTGCTTAGAAAATCTTCCCGCTGTCTGGCATGCTGGGGCTGTCTCTTTCCCTTCCTGGAAGATCCCTAGGGCTGGGCTCTCTTTTCTCGTTTGTATTCTGATCTCGGGACTTCTTTTTTCAGTGGCTGCAGCTCACCATGTATGCCTGAACCAAGCTGGCCTCATCCAAGGCCATGCACATCATTCAGGATTTCAATTTCACCCAACACAGCTAGAGCCACTTACCTCCAAGAATGCCGTAACCGCACCCCTAGCAGGCCTCCGGGCGCCTGGCAGTCTTGTTCCTCCTCCACTTCACTCCCCACTTGGCCTCAGGGCATCAGTCCATCTGTAATGCCCAGACTGACCCTCTAGCTAAGGAACGAGGAAGGGGGAACAACTCTGTCCCTTTGCCACATGGAGGCAAGTGTCTCTGTCTGCCTCAGCTAGTTGTAGCCCAGCTGAGAGCTTTGCTTGGAATCTGAGCGACCTTGGCTCTGAAGCAAATGCTCTCCTTAGCTTGCCCGAGGCTGTTCGCAGAAGCATTTGGCAATGGCACTCAGCACTTCCTCACGCTACAGCCCTCTATCACCTTATGTTCTCCCACTCATGGGACAGTAACTAAACTAGCACCTGATTCTGCCTGATTGTTTCAGAATGGGCCTGCTCCAGGGTAAACTAGCTCAGTGGAAGAAGGCTGGATACTTTGAGTTGTCTGACTCATAAGTTTGGCTGCATTCTGAAAAAAGCTGATCTAAATAAAGGCACATGTAAGGCTGATTTGCTAGTTTTGTTTTCTCACGTTTTGATGTCAGCCACAGCAGTGCTACGTAGCTTCCAATCTTACACTCACCTATAGCGTATAGAGAGGCCTAGTTTCAGAATACGACAATGGAAGACACACACACACACAAATAAAACCCAAACCCCACTTTAACCATGCCTATTGCTGTTTCTTGAACATAGGAAGCACTCAGATACTCTCCAAGATATATGAGGAAAGGAAAAGGAATAGCTGTTGGTATGTAGAACATCAAGAATAAATGGGTCAGCTATAACTGGAAGGGCCAGTTACCCCAATGCAATGGAGCAGAGATGTAGTTTTTAATCCTAGCTCCTCTCACTAACTGACCTGTTGTATGACCATGGACAAATCCTTAAATGTAGCTGTTTGCCAAACTTAACTGGACCGTGGTCCAGGCATATCTATAACCATCTTATGTTTTCTACCCACTTTCCTTCTTGCTCTCTATACCAACATGGAAAAAGAAGGGTTTGGCTACAAATACGCAGACAAGGTAACAAAAGTAAACAATTAGTAAAATTACTTTATTTTCCTCTTGTATTTGCTTTATATCTTGCTTTATAAAGTTAGGAAGTTCACAGCTTTATACCAAAATGTAAGAAGGCTAAGCTATTTGCTTATAAACATTTTTGCAATCAAATGTCATCTGATTTCATTCTTCTAAACCATATTCAATATAAAAAGAATTTCAGAGACCAAGGGTGCTGGAGCAGCTCTAGGGCATGTATGTCTCTTAAGCAGGAGAAAGGTCTTCAACAGCCTCTCCTCCTTGACTCCCCCTAACCCCCCAATTCAAGTGGGCTACTACCTTGAATTTAGAGCAAATCTGGGAAACTTCAGTCTCCATGTGACCCAGTAGGGCCACGTACTTGGGGGTTGGAGGTGAGGTTAGAGGTTACTGTCTGATAAGTGGCAGGTTTGGTTTACATCAGGATTTCACATCCACTTGCATATGAAACTCAGTGTAGCCCAAATCACCCCCACCACAGCTTCTCTCCTATCCATTAGACAGCTTCTCTGAAATCCTGAGGATCCTGATGGTTGCGGGCAAGGATGATATCACTATTTTATCAATGTGGCAGGCATGGCCTTCATAGCAGTTCTAGGAGCTCTCTTTTAGTTAACAGGAACAAAATTTATAAGTCAGCATATATAAATCGCAGTTATTTGAGCAAACCAGAGGGTATGTGCTGTTCAAATCCCACTTCACAATATACTCTGATCTCCCCTCCAATGAATTCTTCCATAAAACATACCATACCATTCCACTAAGGGTCGTACGCCTACTCCACCAAATCATTCACATACCTGGTCACTAAAGTTGTCCACTGTATAATGTACCAAAAAGAAAAAAAAAAATGAAAAAAAAAACCCACCAAAACCCCACACCTTTGTTAGGCAAATAATCACTTAAACAGCAATAATACTGCCTATAAATTATAGGTAGGTCAGGAGCTAAACACCCAACTGCTAACTCTTCTGAGGCAGAAAAAACGTTTCCCCACAAAAGCAAGAGTGTTGTAGCAAGGACATTCTCTCAAATTCAAGTAACATCAGGTCAAGCTCATTCTTTGCTCTTAGAGTTTTGTTTGCACTGTGTTTAACTGCTTTATAACTGAGTAGAGGAGTCTGCCAAAATACATTGTGAACCTGATTAAAAACTTCAGGATAAAACCTCAAGTGACTGATATTTTATCAGAACAAACTGCCATTAAAACACTAGCATATGCACACACAAGGATTTATACTATCATTTTCTTGGCTTCGAGCTGTTAGAAGTAGGCACAGGCAATTAAAATAACATTCTAAAAATGGTTTCCAACTCCTTACGAGTCGGGTTCTGTCAGGTATACAGTACCTGTCAAGTACTGTAATACCAGAGTCAACGCAAATCCCTGAGCCACAGCTCTTCTCTGAGAGGAGACAGAGGGCTAGAATCAGGCAGGACATTGCAGAAGACTTAAAAATGGCCAAAGTTCTGCATAACTTTCAAGACACTTAAAAGTAATAACACACAACCATAAGCAGCCAAGATGCTTATGGTGCCTTTATTTCTAAGCAGAGGGCTAGAACAGTTCATTTAACACCAACCTGGTGTTAAACGAATTTTACACATTCTTGAAACAAAGACATTATTGCCACTGCTTCAAAGAAAATTTTTGTGAAATGAGGAAAAGTATTAAAAGTATAGGTGGCCACGTGCATACATTCGTAGAAGGAACATTCACAATTGCACACACAAAGGCAGACAGACTGTTCAGGATTCTACCAAATCAGTTCTTACTGATTCTATCGGTCTGTTCATACCTTCAAAGGTTCCCTACGATTGCCCAACACCTCACATACCCCCTTCCTCAGTACAAGGCTCCACCACTCTCATTTTTTCAGACATGTCCTCGGAAACAGGACAGAAGGGCACCTATGCAACAGAGCATGCAAGACTTTCTTAGCACACTGCCCAGCCAACGTGGAAATGTGTGTTCACTACAGCCAGAGAAAAAGGCTAGGTTTAGCAATAAACCCACATGTACTTTCCTGGGAAATCACCATTCCCAAACCCACAGAACAGCCTAGCTTCTCTGGTCACCCATACAGGAAATGGGGGTGAGAGGTGGGAAAAGCTTCTTATCTCATGCAGAAACAGCACAAATACACTTTCTGCAATAGGATCTTCTCTGTTCCCTCTCAACTATCATGCAAATCTCAATGGTGTCGTCAACAAGAGTTTTCCCATTCACAGGAACAGAAGTAAATAACTTGTGGGGCCATTCATTATCTAGTAGTAGCTCCTAGATTAGTTCTTAACGTTTTTTGGATCTAGTAAGAACCACTGGAGCCTTTCCTGGAAAAAAAGAACACATACTTAGTCTTGCATACAACTTCAGGGGGTTCGCATACCCTCTTAAAACCTAGCCATGAACACCCAGTGAAGTCCCCCTGCCCTAGAGCCTGAGTGAAGATATGTGAGTAGATGCATGTGCACTAACAGGGGTGGACATAAACCTGATGCCCTGCACTCCTAGAAAATAGTAGGCTTCACATCCCGAAGCTTTGTATGTGACACTGGGCTCTTTTCCTTTCTTCTATCTCTCTGAAGAATCTTTCAGAGTTTTGAGAATCCAGAAAGAAAAGGCTGGAAAGCAACACTTCTATTGCTCCTTCTAAGAGTCCAGAGAAAATCCAATAACAAAGCAGCCTCACTCAGATTTTGTTAATTCGGCTGCTCTCAATGGACAGGTATAGTCTTCACCTTCACCAGACTCCACTCTTCTTTCCCAGCTAGTGGGGAGGTGAAGGCAAGATACCAGTTTCATAAATCAGTCTCTAGGAAGCCTGCCTGAGGCCCTAAAAACTATCTTCAGATGCTTTATCCTAACTCCCCCATCTTGGGTGCTGCAGGTGTGGGGGAAGCACCTGCGAGCCCAAAGGAAGTATTTGATGGCTGCCATCAGTCTAGGCACAGCTAGATAGTGGGAGAGATAGGGGTTGGCAATGGGGCAAACTAAAAGGTTTCAAACCCACAGTAGGCTTGCAGAGTCAGAAACTGGAAAGGGAGATAAAGGCGACACCTCCAGTTCAAATGGCCTGACAATACCTGCAGCAGTGAGGGCCCAGGTCTAACAGCAAAATTTCAAGGTAGACGTTAGGCCTGTGCACTGTCTTGAACCGAGCACTCTACCAAATCTTACACAGAGGTTCAATACGGAGTGCCGTCTGTAAGGACTTGTCATTAAGTGATTTGCTGTCTGAGTTCCTAAAATATAATCAGCAGTCACTCTAACTGTTAAAAATCTACTGTGTGTCTCTTTAGCATTTAAAGTCAGCTCCGTCCATCTACAAAGCAAGAGAATATTGAAACACACTGCACATAATTGTTAATTAAGAAGGGAAACTATTTGCTTCCAATTTAAATACCCAGTTATTACAAGTGGAGAAATCAAAACTGATCCCCAAAATCTAGCATTTGAACAAACTTGTACTTAAAAGCCTGACTATAGGTTTAAACCATCATAAGAACATAAACTAAAAATCACAAACTGAAATCAATAAAATATACTAAGATTAGGGTCAAATTGGGTAACTAATTAAGATCTGTATCTTTAATAAACATCTGGAGAACACTAGAAGCATAAATTACTATACGCCATGCTGTCCGAGAGGAGTGTGGTTCCTTAAAAATCAGATAAATCGGACAAACCTCCAGCAAGAACTTAAAATGTACCCTATCATCCCATAGAGCTGCCCAGACTTAGGCTAGTGGTAAGCCTGGCTAGTAACCCCTTTCTCCTTCCCTGCTTCACTGGGGAAGGGAAGAGATTGGCCTGTGTGAGGGGCTGATGTGAAATTAGTTCAACTAATGACTTCCCAACATGGGAGGCAAAAAACTTCATGAATCAATTTTGCTGTCATCCTCAGCATGTCGTTCAATGTGGCCTGCAGCATCCTAGGAATAAAGGGAAAAGAGCCCATGAGAGACAGTCTGCAGTAGCACAAGAGCAAGTCAAAGCCAAGGAAAGCTTCTTGGGTACATTCTAAGACCCATACATGAAAGACAGTTAGGACCCAGCACTTTGCCAATTTACATGAAATTATGCACTTAAAGATGAGTTCATGTCTTGGCACAAGAGCACTGTAATAAACCTCTAGGTTCAGTTACTGGATTTGAAACATTATCTTTAGGCTCTTTCTCAAAAACTTCCTAATTCTTCCTTTGAAACCTCATTAAGCTATCCCTCAAATCTCTGAATCATAATAAAAAGAAAAATCCCTAGACTCTCCCTTTTTATTGCAATTTTGAACATTCTAATAAGGCAAAAAAGGTTTACCGAATCCTGGTCTGAGCAGTCGACCCTGGTCGACCTCAAGTCCCACTGATGTACCTGTTTGGATCCTTTCCTAGCAGTAAAAAAAGCATCACAGTTCTTCCAGCGACACTTCAGAGTTTGAAAGTTCGGATTCGTGTGGTCAGTCAGCAAATGCTGTTTTAAATGATCTATAACACCGAATATCAGAGAGCAACCATGCCACTGGAGAGAAAAAGAAGGAGAGGGTAAGTTAAAAAGAGTACAGGAAATAAGCAATCAGCACATTCCTGACTTGTATCCCAGAAGTACTGCGGAAGCAAAAAGTAAGCCCCTATTCTTTAATTTATTCTTGGCTAGAAAATTTAACAGCTGGGGCAACCAAATTAATTATCAATATAATGAGGAACCTTGTAAAGATCAGAAAGTCTTCTGACACTTTGCTATTTTGAGAAGGCAGAGCACTAAGTACAACCATTACATTGTTACATAAGGAAAAGGTTAGCAAATATTGACAAATTATCATGAAATTCAATTTAAACAATACTCATTCTTCATCTTGCCATCGTAAAATGAGTCTCTTAGTCCATTTATTTAAAAAGCCAAACAGCTTTCCTATAATACTGAAAGGGTTGTTTTTAACAACTCTAAGAACTGTTGACTTGTAAACTTGAAAATAAAAATGTCTGATAAAGAAAACAGTATTCCTGGAAACATTTGTTGTAGAAAACTGGGTTTGTCATGGAAGCCTGACTACTTTACTCACAATTTTTACCACTTGAATCACAGTCTTGTGATCACCTACTTTTTTTTTTTTTTTAACTGTACCTTTACTTATAAATGTGGCCCAATTCCACCTGTTAGTCAGACAGCATAAAGACTCTTTGTCGTGGCTTTTTCCCTACAGACTTGCTTGTAATAAATCTTAGGATTCTAACATGTTCATTTCTAAAAAGTAAAGCGAATTTGAGTTTTTCCTCTGTCAGCACTATTCTGTCCCTCTAGCTTTAAAACCGGAAGGAATTTCCCCATTTCTCTAGATAAATTAACTATTTGGATATTCTGGATCTTGTTGTACTAGATTTTGCTTGCCTTCACTGAGAAGACTAAAAATCAAAGATAGTGAGATGTAAAAAGCTGAAAAGTAATCAGGCTGTGGACAAACCTAAAATCAAATTTAAAAATGGAGAGTGTTCATTTCATCAATGCTGAAAAAGAAGTTAGGGTTTAGGGAAAAAAAATTCAGTGCTATAAACTTTTCTTTGGTCACTACTAATATTAGAACTGATGAACAAATTAAGGTTTATAAGGAACAGTGTGAAAGTTTTGAGAGTTAATCATCAGCTCACACCCCAAAATAAAAACCAAGCAATTTAGCCTAGTGAACTGAGGTTTAGAACCATAAGAATAGAAATTTTTGCCTATTCCTCAAAAACCAATAAGGACACAAACCAAACTATTAATATGTGTAACATCTGAGGAATGGGTATAGTACAGTGGGCAGGTAATGAAAGTAAGCACTTCCACTTTTTATTTCATATACTTCTGTACTGTTGATATTTTTGTAAAAACACACTGATTTTATAATAAAACAAAAGAAAAACCACCAAGGAGATACTCTTTAAGTGGACAATATTTAAATATACTTCATATCTAATCTTAAAATAGACTTTTCATTAAAAAAGTATAGAAACTTTTTATGTATGGCTTTTAAAAATAAGCTTCCTTGTCCTGCAGTGGAAGGCATAATGTAGATGCTCAAATATGTAAAATGCTAAATTGATGATAATGAAGATCTATAAATGAGCCTAGGGTTAAGCAACATCGAAGTCTGGTGACAAGGCAAGTTTCACTCCTTACCCAACAGCGGTAATTCTGCATCAGATTTAGCCTCACGGACTGAATACTGCCATCATAACAACCAGTATAAATCTAGAGAAAGAGGTTTATCGTGTCAGACCAAAACAACACACAAAAAAACAACTACAAAACACCTTCAAAATAAGAGTCAAAAGCTACTTGTGGCAGCTATAATAAGAAAGCACAAAACCAAAACCAGCCCCAGAGTACCACAATGGGAAAGGATCTTCTAGATCTTCTAAACACTTCGAAGCTGTGCTCCTTAAAGAGCCACTCTTGGGACTGTGGCTGAGAGCAGAAGTGGCAGGGCTTGGAGGCACCCACTGATACTTTAATTGGTGTAGCTCCGGCTTCTACTGGGCATTACACATTAGGCATCTGTATTTCATTGGAACAAAGGGTTCTTCTGCTCAGAGTTTGAAAAACATCCATTCTGGTTCAACCCCATGATTTAAAAATAAAATAAATCAAGGATTAGCAGCGCTAAATGAGTTAGCTTCTACTTTTAGGTCTGCTATAACTATGCCACACTGGCCAAATCTCCTGACTCTATTTCAATGCTCTGTTCAGATCATAATATCTCTGGAAAAAGCACCACTCAATTTTTTCTGGAAACATCTTAAATTTATCTTCTATTTAATGATGGATTAGATTTTAGCTATTAATAGAGAATGGAATATTCAACAATGTTACTGGGTTACTTCTCAATATTATAATGCCAAGGGATAGAAAAGCATTCAATAATGAGGCATATCAGAAACAGATGTCATTTTTGGAAGTGACAGGTAGTAACATTATTATCAGTTTGCAGAATTTTTACTAAACACATTCAAAGGCAAATATGTGACATGGCAAATAATACTCACCATACTTTTATGGATGGTCATACACATAATCATGTCTTTGTGTCCTCCATAAACTTGCAATCGATCATGGGACTTAGGTGTAGGAAAAAAACAGAAAGAGAATTAAGGTCATCTATACCTTGTGTTTAATAAGCACTGTCCCTGAAGGCCTATGGCAGATTTAAAACTACACCTGAGGTACCAAGCTGAAGCACCAGTAGCAGTTTAACAGAGATATAATCTAACAGCCGTCTTTCTAATAAATCCTCCTCCTCAAGGGAAGAGCTGGTAATTGGAAATAATAAAACCAATTTCTGTGAAGTGTCAAAGTCTCAAATCTGAAATTGCACACAAGGAGAACTAGACAGATTTTAGAGACTATGTTGCTCTCCAGAAATCATTTAAGTTTTGACACCTGTGAGCCGAACCATACATCTCATAGCAGTATTTCTGAAAGTGTAGTCTATGGACCAGCTGCCTCATCATTATCCAGAGCACGTGTGAAGAATGCAGATTCCTGGGTTCTACCCTAGACTTACTACATAAAAAAATCAACACCACAAAATAGACAATCTCCCCAAATCATTCAAGCAAAATACTGGATCTAAATTCTACCTGTAATTCGTAGACACGAACAAATTTATCCAGGCAAGCAGTCACCATCACTTTTCCCAGGATGTTCACCACAGTCACTGCATGATTGTGACCTTTATAGATCCGTACAAGCTCACCAGTCTGTATCAGAAAAGAGATGAGAGTCACTAGAGTGACTTTCAAGATTCCTTTTGACTTTTGATATTTACGATGCCATAATTCTAAAAGTCATAATTCTGAGGCTGTTTGTACACACATGTGGCTGTACTAATTTTAACAGCTGAAGTACTCTCACAAGCATTTGTTACCTATACAAAAATATATGAAATGTATCCTGATGGAGAGAACCTAGTGTCACAGAAAGAGAAGGGCCACACTCTATCTATACGTATTTTATAGCTTTCGAAGTGTTTTCACTTTTACCATTTCATTGGATCTGGACAACAAATCCCTGAGGGTGGATTATCCCCAGGTTTAGAGACCAGGAACTGAGCTTCAAAGAGCTGCCTCTATGACCTGAGCACAGTCTCTCGGCTGTTTTTATTTGTTCTATTTTAAACTATGTATCATATCCACTTTCTTAGAGCCTCAGATGCTCAGTTTATCTCAAGTTAAAATGAGGTATTCAAACTAAACCTTACATAAACTTTGAGTCCGCCCCCCATTAAAAATTTTGATGAGGTCAGAATTTCTCGGGTGCTCAATGCTATCCCAGAGCTTATGCATAGAGATCATCATTAAGCTTTTCCCTGGAAAAAGGGCTTAGTTTAAATTGCAAGCAATCTAAGGAATCCTTCAAGCTTTAACCACCATTTTATTAAAGATTTCTTTACACCAACACGGCTTACATGAATGTTGTGGGCATGGACTGATTGATCACTGGAGCCACTGAACACAAGGTCATTCACCACCTTAAAGAAAAAAATTCAATGAGTTACATTACATTCGGTATAAGGTTCTGAGTTTCTTCTGCACCTTGTAATGCACATTGACAAATTCTAATTTCCATCCCATTTAGAGATGAGCATGAACTAGGTATAAAGTAAATTTCTCAAATTTTCTGAACAGAAACTTACATCCTACCACCAGGCACTCTGATGAATTGACAACATATTATTTGGTTACCTCTTCAGAATGATTAGGAAGTAGCCTAGAAGGGCAACAGAGTATATCTACATTCTATAATAAGACACACTTTTATTTTTTCTCAGTTAATATATTAAAAAATAGTACATCCCTTGGTGACCCAGGCCTAAAGGAAAGGACTGTAATCTCCTCGCTCTTTTCAAGATGACTGCGTTCTAAATAAGGCATTAGGCAATGTCATTCAAACCCTTCTATTTGTGCCAGACAACTAACTCCTGTTCTCTTGCACTATACTTGCCTTCATGCAAAGAATGGTTTTGCTGTGGCCCTCCAGAGTTCTAAGGAGCAGTCCATTCCGTGCATCGCGTACACTAATGGTACAGTCATAAGATCCCACAACCAGCAGCTTTCGGGCACCTTCCTGAGCTGTGGCAAGACAGCTGACGGCCCGAGGGCCATGGCACTCAAAGATTTCAAGTCGTTTGTTGTTCTGAAAAAATAAGCCATTATATGAAGTAAAAGCAACTAAGCTGGAAAATCTCAAAATAACCAAAATCACTACCTTGATACAGACTCTAAATTCTATTACCTATACTTAAATTCTCATACCCACTCCCTATCTTTAACTTCCCAACCTCTGCCATTCCCATTCCAACTCTCTTTGTGTTCAGGACTCCTTCTTCTCCCATTCCAACAGGGACAAAGTCTTAACATTATAAACTCATGTCTAACTTCAACCCACACTATCCTGATCATAATTAGAACTTGGTTCTCTTTTTATGCCCTCTCTCACTTCCCTTAAGCTAATGATAATGAATGATCAACCTTTTTTTCATACTTTAATACATTTTCCATGCCACAGGCCCAGGAACTCTTTCACTGTTTTCCCTTTGGTCATCCAAAATTTATACAATCTATTAGTCATGATGTTTCCAAACTTCTCTATTGAGAACTACTTTCTTAGACAATTTCAGTAAGTCTCCCATTCACCACCTTTCTGCTATTCTGACGTTCTTCTGACTTCTGGTTCTATGTCATTTCTCACGACATCATTTAGTGGACTACAGAGCCTTTGTAACAGTCAGAGTGCATGATCACATCCTGAATTCCCACACAATCGTTTACCTCAGATTTTAGACTTGCTTCCCTCATCCCCACATCATTCTTGCTCAGAAAGTCTCTCACTTTCCCAAAACCTCTAAAAACATACTTCAGGTGCAGGTATGGGGTAAAACTCCCAGAAACTAAGCACAAAGTAGCAGCTGGGAACCTACAGAGCTGAGCACGATTTCAGCTATTTTGAAGTGCTGGGGAGACAGACTGATGGAGTTCAGTGCCCAGTGGTGGCCAGGCCCTGTTGAACAGCCCTGGTTTTCTGTTGACATCCCAGAAGCACCACATTCTAGGAGCACGGGCAAACCAGAGAAGGCCCAGCCCTCACAAGCCTTCAAAATTCACATCTCTGCAGAGATTCTCAAATCTCTGTCTTGAGGTCCACCTTCTCTGGGGCTTTCCAACCATTTAAAGACCGTTTCCATTTGAATTTCTTGTCATCATCTTGCCTTAAAAGTCCTGCTCCTAATTTCTATCTTTGATAATATTAATCTCACAAAAAAGAACAGAATTAGGTAATTATCAAGTTTTATCCTTTAAAATATTTTTTTAAATGCATTTTTTATTTATTGTTTTATTTATTTTTGTGAGGAAGATCAGCCCTGAGCTAACATCCGTGCTAACCCTCCTCTTTTTGCTGAGGAAGACTGGCTCTGAGCTAACATCTATTGCCAATCCTCCTCCTTTTTTTTTCCCCCAAAGCCCCAGTAGATAGTTGTACGTCATAGTTGCACGTCCTTCTAGTTGCTGTATGTGGGACGCAGCCTCAGCATGGCCGGAGAAGCGATGCGTCAGTGCGCGCCCGGGATCCAAACCCAGGCCGCCAGTAGCGGAGCGCGCGCACTTAACCACTAAGCCACGGGGCCGGCCCTATCCTTTAAAATATTTTAAATTTATTGTTTCTTCTTCATTTTTATTGCCCTAACCAAATCTAATCTAGGCTGTTAGCACTTGGCAACTGGAATGCAAAAACCTTCACTAATTACTCTTCTGTGATCTATTCATACCAAGCGAATCAAATAACTTGGCACTTAATTTATATACATACTAGATTTCTTCTAACTTGATTTTAAGCTTCTTAAAGGCAGAAACCATAACATAGGGCCGGCCCCATGGCTTAGCGGTTAAGTGCACGCACTCCGCTGCTGGCAGCCCGGGTTCGGATCCTGGGCGTGCACCAACGCACCGCTTCTCCGGCCATGCTGAGGCCGCGTCCCACATACAGCAACTAGAAGGATGTCCAGCTATGACATACAACTATCTACTGGGGCTTTGGGGGAAAAAATAAAAAAATAAATAAAAAAAAAGAAACCATAACATATTTTATTGCATCCCTTATAAGTAGTTCCAGCTAGCATGTGGAAGGAGAGATAGGAGGTACTCACTAAACACGTGAATGATACTGTAACTGGGCATAACATAGTAAACATTCTAACATGCGGTTAAAAGATGACCAGATGACCTTGGGCTACAGGCTACAACTAATTAGTAACCAAACCTATCACTTCCACCTCTGAGATTACATCTTTTATCCATTCTCTTCTCCTCATCCTTAGTCTAACCTTTCATGTCAGCTTCCATTACAAAGCCTCCTAAATGGTCTCCCTGCCTCTAATGATACCAGTATTTTCCAATCTCATCAACTCCAGAGTGACTTTTTCTAAATTACAATTTGGACCATGTTGCTCATACTTTAAAGCCTACAAGAGGCAGTCCAATTACATTAACAAAGCACATGGGGCCATCAAGAACCAGTCCCTACTCATTTCCTAAACCTTATCCTGGGGCCTAGCACATACACATGCTCAATAAAGGTTTGTTCAATAAATGAATTTATCTTAGGGTTAGGAAAGAATGAGTCCACGTGGGCATGAAGGCAAACCTCTGACTTAGTCCACTTCACAGAAGAGGCTACCCTCATGAAACCCTAAATCAGTTCCAAACCACATCAATGTCATACTCCAAGGAATTTAAGCTCATTTTTCATGGTGTCATTCTTAAAATGAGATAGACCAGTTTAACTTGTGACTCATTATTTGGCCCCAAATCGTCAAGCTTGGTTTAATTTAGTAGAGTTACATTTTAGTCCTGGCACACTTGGGCCTCAGCAGACAGAATGCAGGATCTTGTTTCACTTATACCAGGAGACAACAGTTTTTGAATAGCAGCTAATTCTGTTGCTTTCTCACACAAGAAAACAGGAAAATGTCTGCCTTCTACTTCTTCCCACACACACTCACATTATTTTCAAGTGGCATGGGAATTCAGCCTTCTCTCCCCAACCACTAACCTTTATGTTGAAGGTGACCACAGTGCCATTTGCCAATCCTGCATAGAGGATTCGCCATCTACTGTGGAGGCAGAGAACCCGGTCTTCCAGCTGTAACTGCTCCACACATTCTCGTGTCTGATAAAAAGTACACAACACCTAATCAGCAGTGGTTAACAGGCGAATAAAATGTGAAAACAATTCTTCTGAAAGCAGAGTGTGAAATGATTGTTATGAGGAAGAAAATGTAGCATCCTCTATTTTGTAGAAGACTATCTTAGATTTTTTTCTCCTTTGAAATATGTGGCCAAAGACACTCAAGCTGTACATAATATCAAAGACAAATAAAAATTCTAATAATGTTACCCATGTTTCTAATTTGGAATATAGAAATTCTTCAAAGGGCACTATGAATTGGGTCTTAGCCTCTTAAATTGAATAGCCAAATTAAAGCTGCATTTGACATCTAAAAAGGAAAATGAAGATTATAGGTGCATACTGGATAACTGCATTAAGCAAATATGTGCTTTTCTACAACTGATTCTCTAATTCAATAGCTCCCAAACGCATCCTTCAAACCACTGCCAGGTTAGTTGGTCCAAAATTACCCAAGAAACTTTAAAAATATATAGAACTCCAAGTTCACCCCAATCTCTGAGATTCTAATTCAGTAGGCTCTGGAATATGTATATTTTTAAAAATTTCTTTAGTAATTTTGATACATATCCAGGTTAAATAAGAGTTTGCTTTGACCTTCAAGAAATTATTTCCATGAATTTCCAGGACTGGGTTATACTAGCAAATCTAATTACCTACAACCTAGAATAGGGCCAGTAACATAGTAAGTGCTCAAGATTTGCTGCTGAATGAAACTAAGTGACTAAAGGCCCAAGTGAAGATTTTGAACAGGCTTGGATACAGAAGTTGAAGTCAAGATGGTTGTAAGTGGGTAGGATGGGACAAGCTGTGGGTAGGATGACAAAAGCTGTAGCTGTCAAAGCCTTTGATCTCTTCTCCCAACCTTCTTTCATACCTAAAAGAGTCAGTCTTTTAAACTATTCAATTTCCCCCACAGAATTACAAATATAAATGCCACGTATCAAATTGTAAAATAAAGAAAAAGACAATAAATATAACCAAATGTTAAAATTTCATGTTGTCTCTGTAACTCAAGTGAAATCCTTTTATAATTTTATAGGTGAAATTGAATACTATATAGTAATAAAAAAGAACTATTAGTACATGCAACAATATACATTAACTTCAGACACTATGGTGAGATAAAGTTAGGCATGAAAAAATACAAGTAGTATGGTTTATTTACATGAAGTTCAAGCACAGACTAAAATAATCTATAATGACAGAACTCAGAGTAATGGTATTCTTTGAGGGGGGTGGTGACTGGAAGGTGTATGAGGGAAGATTCAGGGGGATGGAAATGGTCTATATTTGATCTTGGTGGTGGTTACACAAATGTATACCCATGTAAAAATTCATCCAACTGTATATTTAAAATTTGTGTACTTTACTAAAGTTATACCTCAATTTGAAAAACTGGCTAAGAATTTTTTTCACTGTACAGTCTCACTATGCCAAATACTACTCAGTTAGAACCCTTAAAAATACTGAGAAATCTTTTAAAAGTTTTTGCTAATTTTATAAATCAAAATGGTACTGAACTTTTGTTTTAATTTCCACTTATTGGCAAGACTCTATTATTTTCAAATAGTTATCTGTATTTCCTCTTTTTAAGGAATTTGTTTCTGTCTTTTCCCAATTTATGTATAGGGATTTTAGAATTTCTCTTCTCAAAGGGGTAAGCTCCTTACAACACAATATTAACCCCATGTTTTTTTTTTTTTTTTTAAAGATTTTATTTATTCATTTTTCCCCCAAAGCCCCAGCAGATAGTTGTCTGTCATAGCTGCACATCCTTCTAGTTGCCGTATGTGGGACGCGGCCTCAGCATGGCCAGAGGAGCGGTGCGTCGGTGCGCACCCGGGATCCGAACCCGGGCCGCCGGCAGCACAGTGCGCGCACTTAACCGCCAAGCCACGGGGCCGGCCCATAACCCCATGTTTATCCTATGTTACAACTATTTTTCCCTCTTTTTACTTAAGACTATTCTCTTGACAAAATTTGTTTACAATTTTTTAACAGCTTTTTTGAACTATTATTTCTACATAATAAAATTCACCATGTAAAAATATACATTTCCTTAAGTTTGGTAAAGTATACAGTCATGCAACTATTACCACAATCAACTTTCAGAATGTTTTCACCACTCCAAATAGTTACCTTTATCCTCTTTCAGTCAATTCCCACTGCCATCCAAGCAACCCTGATAGTTTTGCCTTTTCTAGACTGTCATATAAAGAGAACATACAGTATGTAGTCTTTTACATCTGGCTTCTTACAAAGCATGTTTTTGAGGTCCATCCATCTTGCTACATGCAGCAATGGTTTGTGCCTTTTTGTTGCTAGCATTATTCTATCTTTTACATTCCACCTTTATTTTATACACCGCCTTTAATCTATCTACCAGTTGATGGATGTGTTAATTGTTTCTATTATTTTACTAAAATGAATAATGCTGCTATAAGGTTCCTTCTTTCATTCTGGATATTGGAAATTTGTGTCTTCTCTCTTTTTTGATCAATTTAGCTACAAGTTTATCTATTTTATTTATCTTTTCAAAGAACTAGCTTTTGTTCTCACTGATTTTTCCCTATTCTTTATCAGTTTTATATACTGTTGATGTCCATTCTGCTCTTTATTATTTCCTTTCTTTTACTTATTTTGGGTTTAACTTTTTCTGCTTTTTCTAATTTCTTAGAAACCTAATTGATTTTAAACCTTTCTGTTTTTCTAATATAAGCATTTAAACACTATAAATTTCCCTTTCAGTAATACATTAGCTGCATCCTACAAATGGTAAGTTGTATTCTCATTTTCATTTAGTTTGAAATATTTTCTAATTCCCCTTGTGATCTCTTTGAACCATGGGTAACTTAGAAGCATGCTATTTCATTTCCCCATATTTGGGGATTTCCCAGATTTCTTTCTGTTCTTGATTTCTAAATAAATTCCACTGTGGTTGGAGAGTATACTCTAAATGATTTCAATCCTTTTGAGATTCTCATTGAGACTTATTTTATGTCCCAGCACATGGTCTATCCTGGTGAATGTTCCATGTGCACTTGAAAAGAATGTGTATTCTGCTCTTTGGGGTGGAGGATTCTATAAATGTTAATTAGATCTTGTTCATCAATGGTGTTGTCCAGTTCTTCTATATCCTTGATGATTTTCTGTCTAGTAGTCTATCAATTATATAGAGAGAGGTGTTGAAGTCTCCAACTATACTTGTGGATTTGTCTATTTCTCCTTGTACTTCTATCAGTTTTTCTTCATGTATTTTGGAGCTTTGTTATTAGGTACATTTATTTATAACTTATATCTTATTACATTGTTATAATTGTTATATTACTATATTTATAATTATATCCTGCTATACTGACCCTTTTATCATTATGGAATACCACCCTTGTCTTAAAGTCTATTTGCCTGATAGTAACAAAACCACTTCAGCTTTTTGTTACTATTTGCACAGTACATCTTCTTCCATTCTTTTATTTTCAACCTACTTATGTCTCTGAATTTAAAGTGCATGTCTCATAGCACAGATTTTGTTGTTTCTTCTTTACCTAGTCAATCTCTGCCTTTTGATTTTAGTGTTAATTCACATTTAATATAATTATTAAATATGGTTAGATCCGGGTCTCCAATTTGCTATTTGCTTTCTATTTGTTTCATTTTCATTTCTCTGCTCTTCCTTTTCTGCCTTGATTTCTACTAAACAAATATTTTTTTAGTGTGCCACTTGAACTCCTCTATTGAAGTTTTTAGCTCTATTTCTTTGCATTATCCTTTTAGTGGTTGCTCTAGGGCAGTTGTTCTCAGAGTGTGGCCCCCAGACCAGCAGCATCAGTATTACATATTAGAAATGTACATTCTTGGGCCCTATCCCAAAACTACTGAATCAGAAACTCTCAGAGGAGGGTCCAGTGGTAGACATTTCACATACATATCTTAACAAGCTCTCCAGGTCAATCTGATGCATACTGAAGTTGTGAACCAGCACTCTAGGGATTTAACCTCTTTAAATTATAACAATCTAGTTCAAGCTAATACTGACTTACTCCCAATAAAATATAAGAACCTGTACCAGCACAACTCCATCTCCTCCCCCTCCTGTGTGTTCCTGTTATCACACATATTCCATCTATATGTTAAAAACCTAATGATTTAGTACTATAAATTTTGCTTCAAATAGTTAAGTCTTTTAAAGAAATTAAGAATATACATATATTTTTTTAACGCAAACAAATTTTTCTCATCTCTTTCAATGCATTTAGAGTTAGAAAATTCTTTCTCAGGGGCCGGCCCCGTGGCTTAGCGGTTAAGTGCGCGCGCTCCGCTGCTGGCGGCCTGGGTTCGGATCCCGGGCATGCACTGAAGTACCGCTTCTCCGGCCATGCTGAGGCTGCGTCCCACATACAGCAACTAGAAGGATGTGCAGCTATGACATACAACTATCTACTGGGGCTTTGGGGGGAAAAATAAATAAATAAAATTATAAAAAAAAAAAAGAAAGAAAATTCTTTCTCAGAAGAGATATCCACTTCTAAGTTTTCAAGTTTAAAAAATTTAAACATTTTACTCTCTTTTCTATCTAGGGTTAATTTTGGCATATGATGTGAAAATAAAAATCAAGAGTAATATTTGTGGGAAAGATCAAGATTTCGTTTACTACTATTCTTAATAGTAGTAAACAAAAAAATACTGGTAGAGAGAGACAGAAAACATTCATTTCTCATAAGCCTCATTTCTACCAAGGGTTATACAAGTGTACTAAAATAGGTTCAAAAGCAAAAGAGAGAAAGTGGGCAGAATGAAGCATCTGTCTCAGTGTCTCCACTGTACAGAGTAAATACAGTCAAAGCAGTTCAATATTATCACTTTTGATTTCTTTGGACCCACTTACCTTAACATTATAACAGCGAATGGTGTGATCACTGGAACCAGTGTAAAGGGCAGCATTCTTCCCAGAGGTCTGAGTAACCAAGAGGCAATTCACTTTGGAGGTATGGCCCTCAAAGACACCAATGCACTTCCGACTCTAAAGTCAAGCACAGATCAGGTCATTACTTGTGAATACAAAAGGACTACATAATGCATTTCCTCAACAAAAAGATGCTAAAACATGTAGTTCACTGCTGTAGCCTCAGTGCCTAGAATAGTGCCTGACACACAAAAGGTGTTCAGTAAATATCTGTTCACTGAATGCCCAGCAAACAGTCACATGTAGTGCACTACCTGCAAATATACGTTAGCTGAGCCATACCGAAAAGTACTTAGGGCGATTTGCTACAAGACAGATCAGAATTTTAATTAATGCCTAGGGCAAGGCTCTCCAACATATGGACCAAAGATCTAGCATATCCAAACTGTAGCTAATTACCCAGATAAGTTCCCACATTTGATAAGTAGCTTGTGAGAATGCTCCACAATATTCAAAGACTGTCAGGTGCCATCACAGGTCCTAGTGGTCCAGGCGTGTGGTTTCATAAGGGAACATCCTAAATGTTATCTCTGCACACATACTAAGATCTATTTAGAATGTATATATATACACAAACACGCATACAGACACACACACGTTGCAATTAGAGTTAGAGCCAATCTCCCAAATCTTATACTTTTACTTCCTGGTACCACTGCTTCCTTTCTTCAGTCATCCCTGTTGCCCCTCACATCGTTAGGCAAAAGTTAATCTATACACCTGCTGCCTATGGCCAACACATTTTCTTGGTCCATCATCTAACCTTTTGATTTTCAAAGATTTTCAGCAATTTCAAATACTTTCATGGTTGTTTCTTCAGACAACATAGTGTTCCTAAAGTTTCCTGGCTATCGTTGATAAACAGAATTAGTTTGACATGTACCAAATTCAAAACTCAAAAGTTCATTCTATGAAAATTAAGAGTAATAAGCATCAGATTATACTAAGTGTGGGGCAGTGGAAGACTGTGCTCTCCTTAATAACCTGGACAAGTAATCAACTGTCAAGGGAAATGCCTCCTCTAATACTTCCCCAATATTCATTCCAACCCTTCTCTACTACGTAGCAGCTATGCGACTAACCTCATCACCAACTCCAGGGCTGGGACCTGAGAGCCCAAGCCAATTGTGGAAATCCCATCTCCCTTTGTCAAGTTATTGTTCAGGGAGTAAAGCACAGGACCCTTTTTTGGTGGTGGGAGGGAAAAGAAACCTCAGTGGCTCCTGGCATCTATCTGTGAGCAATAGGAGAACTAGCTTTAGGAAGAGGTGATACCAGAGGAGGCAGAGTGGAGAAAGAAAGAAATTAAGTCCCCAGTGACCCTGCTGAGCCACTGGATCAACTGTATCTAAAGTTAGTCTAAAGCCCACTTCACCTCTGGACAGCAAATAAGCTCCCCTATTGTTCAAGAAAGTGCGAATTGGAGTTTCTAAAACCTGCAACCAACCATAAACATTCAAATAGATATATCAACTTACAACCAGATTATAAGCTCGGACAGTTTTATCTGCTGAACAGGTATACAGTAAGTTCCCAAATATCTGAATTGCATTCACTGCAGCTTGGTGCCCCTCAAAGCTCCCTTCTGTGGGCTCATCGTCATCTCCTGGCTCTGAAGATATTTCTAGAAAACAAGAATATGTTTCAGAAATGTGTCATCTGGGTCTGAAAAGATAGTCAAAAATTAAAACCATTACACAATAAAGTGGTCCCTGGATTCTCCTTAAAACCTAGTTCCCCTAGCAAAACACCACATTCTTCATTAATGATCTTCATTATGAAGATTTCATAATTAAGAGACGGCAGGGAAGGAAGGCCCTTCCCTTAGGGAAAAGACAAATATTTATATAATGAGTTTCTGAGTGATACCTGTAAGGTACCAAATATCTCTCCACATCTAGTTTCCTCTGCTGCCAGTTATTTCACTGAGCAAGGCATTATATTTTAAGCAGTTCCTTCTCAAAGCAAAAACCCCTGGAGCCAGCAATACTTTAATACTAATTTGTTGAGCAGATAAGAGAGCCAGACAAGAGAGACGGAAGTAAGAAAATGAAAAGCCAGGATCTGAGGCTTTAGGGATACCATAATTGCTGGTCAAAGCTATCTTCCTGGTGATAACCCCCCACCCCACATTCTACAAGCATATTTAAGTAGATTTAAACCCTGGCTCTAGCCTTTTTTTTCTGTAATTAACTTAAATGAAATTGAACAAAAAATACCTGAAGAGTTCTTCGATCCTTTTATGGAGGAGATCACAGTCTGAGTTTCTGCCACACTACAAAACAATAGCAAAAGTCTTCTTACCATCTGTGTGAACAGGACAGGTAGCAAAACTTATATTTTCCTGACTCAAAGGATCGTTCTAAATAATGGGTAAAGTAACAATGATATAAGAGATCAGTTTTCCATCTGAAATTTCAAATATGAAAGGAAATAAAAGTATAGTAAATATTTACAATACAAATGAGAAAGCAGAAAATCTCTACCGCCAAGATTTGATTCTTCCATATCCATAATCCATACTAATTTTCTATAAATTTGATTCTTTTAAAAATTCTGACTCATAACAAAAAGTTCTGTTTTTTTTTAAGAAAAGAAGAATGGTTAATGAAAGCTGCTCTGACTGGAACAATACCACATCCTTACCTTACAGGGATGCCATCCTTATAGCGCGTGCCAATCTCACTGGTAGAGCTCACTTCATCACAACCAGAACGAGAAGTTTCTATTGAATTTTGCTCTGTGGAGTTCCAAATATCCTTTTTAGATGGGCTGTCTGGTTTCTCTTCTCCAGATTCAGAAGAATCAATAGCTACTACTTCTAACTGAGGATTAGGAATTTCTAGCACTTCCAGAGACGAGTCACTCTCTGGCTCATCTCTGACACTCTCTTGTTCTGGGCCAGTTCTGCTATCTTCCCAGGTGGACGTTGTTACTTTCCCCCCTTTAGCTGACCTGCCAGTTTTTAGTTTCCTTATGGGTTTAGCAGTAAATACATCCTGTTCAGTGTCACTGTTCTCAGGAACATGGGCAGCCCGTAGAGTTTTCTTCTTCCTAAGTTTCTTCTTTTTCTTGCTTCCCCTAGTTTCAGCTGATGTCAGAGTGGACTCTGCCTGTTGTTCAGGTTGGTCAGCTGGAGAGTGGGGCTCCTTCTCTAAAGGGGTTTCTGAAGCAAAGGACAATCTTGGGAAAGAACTGGTACAGGCTTCAGATCCACTGTTGCCTTTGGTTGCCTCTTCATCTTCTTTATTTATGCTAGGAAGACCAGCTGATTGGGAAGAGGGAATGTTTTCTCTGTTTCTGGTATTTCCTTGCTCCACGGAAAACTTCAGTTCTTGGCTAGGCTCATGGAAACTTTCTGTCAGCTCTGATAAGGACAATGTTGCAGCGATACCTGGATAAACTGGACAATTGTCACTGATCTCTCCTGAATTGAGGAGAAAAAAAATATTGCATCTTTTTTTCTATCTGCTATTTATAGTCATAAACTGCAATTATTTACCACTGATTGAATCTCTACCAAATAATGACATTTCAATGATATGTTAACTAAACCATCACTGTTAAAGCTGTTATCTCATCCCTCAGCTTCAGATAACCTACACAAATTCCTGTTACAGCACGTACTACACTTTTCCTTGTATTAATCTCACAAATAACATGCATGCCTTATACCCTACAAAAGCTCCTTATGGGCAGGGATTGTGTCTATCGATCTTTTTTCTTTCCTTCTTGTTTGAAATGTCCACATATTTAACACTGTATTTTATTCTTTGTAGATTCTTAAGTGTCTACTTAGCTAAACTGCTCTTACCTTTATTTCTTAGACGTTTATTCATTATGCATTTTACCTGTACATCATCCAATTTAAAAGTCAGCTGACTTAAAAATATGTTTTCTTTGACTTAGAATTTAAACTGATGAAATGATCACAGACATACCCAAAGACATACAATATAGTGTTATAGAGAATACTAAAAAAAGGAAAAAAACCTAAACATTCAAAGATTATATAAATTATTGTATATCCAGATTATTATGCAACTTCTCAAATATTATACAATTAGTAAAATTAAAATATTTTAGATGAATTATTTTTAGGATACATGAAAATTGTCATGATATATTAAGTGGAAAAAAGTCAGTTTATAACAGACTATAATTTGTCCTTTGTATAAAGTCTACACATAAACATACAAACATTTATGATCTAAGAAAGACTGAAATAACATATAACCAAATAACATCTATATTTTTATAGTTTTCCAATTTTTTACAATGAACATGAATTACTTTTGCAATCAGAAAAAGAAACTTAATAAAAGCTATTTTTTAAAATATTAGCTTAAAAAGTCACTATAGGGGCCGGCCCGGTGGCGTAGTGGTTAAGTTCGCGTGCTCTGCTTCGGCAGCCTGGGGATTCGCAGACTCAGATCTCAGGCTTGGACCTACGCACCACTTGTCAAGCCATGCTGTGGCAGTGTCCCATATAAAGTAGAGGAAGATGGGCACTGATGTTAGCCCACGGCCAATCTTCCTCAGCAAAAAGAGGAGGATTGGCAACAGATGTTAGTTCACGCTCATCTTCCTCACCAAAAAAAAAAAAAAAAAAAAAAAAAGTCACTATAATGCTTCATTACTAGTTTTTAAAAAAACACTAAATACTATCTATGTAAAAGTAACAAAATTCAATATGAAAAAGATAATATACATATCTAGATTGCTGTTGCAACAGGTAGCAAAATCTAGGGTAATTCTTCAGACTTTTTGTTTTTGCTCAATTCACACAATGCCAGTTTGCTTACTTTTACTTAATTTCCAATATAGCACACCATGTGGTTATGCAAACTTCAGATAAGATTTTAAATAGCTTAGAAGTTATTCTCAAATGGTAACCAGGTGAGTGTTATTTTATAAAAAGAGTAAAAACCCTGGCTACTTCTCAAAACCACCCAAGTTCCTATTAGGTGATTCCAAACCCCCAAGCCCTCTGTCTTTCATCATGGCCACCTGCCTCTCAAGCTTATATTAATCCTGGTTTGTATTTTAGATGATAAAGACAGGTAAGAGCTAAGAAATTCAGAGGATATATCTTATCAAGAAAACTGAACAACTTCAATCAATGTGAGATAAACAAATTTATCTCACAAAAAACAATTCTGCACCAATCCTAATAAATGGAACCTTTTAGGTGCTAATACAAAGTCAACTTAGTAATCCTAGATTAGACAAAATCAGAGAAATGTTACTTAAAGTTACTTAAATAATCCTCCTGAATGAAGGACACTTCAAGAAAAATTAACTGTAATAACTTTAGTTTTAACGGGCAAGTACGACTTTACACCACTGTTATAAAATTGCCCTAGACCCACTACAGGGTTGCCCTTAACCCAGAGAAAAGTTTACGTACTATCAGCTTGCAGTAATTCCTTGGACGCATTGCAAGCAGAGCCTTGTGACACAGCATTCACATTTTCGTCTTGTCCAGGAGACATGGGTTCTTGTTTAATCTGAACCGATGAGTCTGGAGCAGGAACCATGCCATGGGCTTGGAAAGCAGGAGATGTGGTTACTTGGAAAGGTACTCCAGTGGATGATGGCGACACATGGGAAGATGGAGGCTCCAGAAAAACTGGGAAAAAGGGAGTAGGCAGCAGCATGGCATCGGCAGACGTTTGAGATCTACTGTTCCTTTGTTCTCGTGTAAGGCTACAGGGAACCTGGTCTGGGCGCTCAGAAGGTTCGTATGTTTCTAGAATGGGAAATACACATACATACATACAAATGCAAAAATGTATCTGACAAGTCACTCCCTTCTGAGCCAATTTATATTTTTAAAGATTACAAGAGAATTTTAAAGTCTCTCATTATTCTTCCAAATAGGTTTTCGTATAATCTATACAACCACCAAGGATACAGACAGAACAGGCATTAATATTCCAAGTTTTCAGATTTTAAGTGATTTATCCAAAGTCACATAGGTACTAATGAAAGAGCCAAGATTTGAACCCAGGTCTTTTGATTCTTAACCCAAGCCTCCTTCTGTAACATACTGTCTCTGCTGCTAAGTATTTTTGGGATGTACAGTCTCACAGGCCTTTCTGTAGAAGGTGAAACCAAGGAGACATGAGAGAAATCATATGATTTTTCATGATTACTTTAATTCCCCTCTATAGAGAACAAAAAAGTAAGCTACAGAGGACACAACCCATCAGATTCTCTCCAAATACCTTGTAATCCCTGTAGAATCTGTATTCTATGGGTCCTCAGTGCACTCATCTCCATAGTTATCTAAAAATAAAGTATTTTGTTAAGTATTTTGAAATCCAACTTCAGAGACGATAAATTTTCACTAAATGTTCCATCTGCTGTTACCTGCTGCTTGAGCATAAGTAGCCTCTGAACTTCAACATAAGCTGTCTGAAGCGCTGCACGGGCTTGCAGAAGGTTGTTATCCATGCACTGCAATGATTTGCTTAGTTCTTCCTCCCTTAAAGAAATATTCAGCAGCTGGTCAACCTGAGACCGTTCTGCCAAAAGAAACCATAAGGCTCAATTTAATACTGGAGACTGCTATTTTTAATACTACAGTTCCTCAGGAGATGGAACTACATCAATTATCTAGGAAAAGCCTCTATTTTCTCCCCAATAGGTCACTGGAGACTCAGCAAATCTCACAAATCATGAAGTCAAGCCTGATGTTGTGAGATCTAGAAACCAAAAGTGAGAACTGGTAAGATGGAGGTACCTCATAGGTTCAAGTATACCGCCACACGGTACCATCTTACCTAATCACCATCTTCTATCACTACCCTTCCAAGTGAAAACTTTGTCCCAGGTAAATCAACTGTCATAGGTTTCATTACCCATTCTTCCTTTATCTACCACCCTCTTCACCCAAAGCTTTTGCTTAGATTGGGCCCCAGATCTTAGATTGGGCCTGCTTGTACTCTCCTCCCAATCCATAATTATTCTAGTCTATTAGTTAACATAATATAGTTCTCTTTATTAGAGAAGTCTTCTTGAAGAAGATATAGTTTTGAAATAGTACATTTAAGTTACCTGAAATAAAATGTTCTGCTATGTCTATTTGTCATCTTTATGTTTGTCTCTTTCCCATCCAACATGCCAAGACCTCTCCCTTAAACTCCAGACCCACATATCCAACTACTAACTTGATATCTCTACCTAGGTGCCTCTAAGGTCCTTCAACTCAAGGGATCCAAAAGGGAACTCATCTTCCTCTACCCTCAAACTGCTCCTCTCATGGAGTTTTCTAGCTCTACAAATGATACACAGTTGCCCCAGCCAGAAACTGGGGGCATCCCTGACTCCTACCTTATTCATCACATCCAATCACCCAAGGCTCATCCCATCACTTCCCACACTAGCCCTTATACTGGAACAGAATTAGAGTCAGTGGAAAGCAAGACTCACAGAAGTGTGTCAGTGAGGGAGCTACACTAATAACTTCTCTCCTTAATTCACATGAGAAAAGCAACCAAGATGCCTCAAAAGTGGAAAGTGGGAGAAATGGCTATAAATGACCAGGAAGGACAAAATTTTTAAATGGCCTGTATTCCTTCATCCCACTGAAAAAGCCCAATGAGACTTTCTGGCTTTATACTGAACTCAATTTGTCCGAGATATATATTTACTTTAGCTTACAGGTCTATGTGGCATCATGTACTTCTTCTATAGTTACAACTGGATATAGTAGAAAATCAAACTTTTCTATGCCCTTAAGCAAGACAACAAAAATGTCAATAAATAAATAAATGGGCAATCAGCGTTTGGTAACCACAAACTATACTTTGTGTCAAGTTGTAAAAAGGCTGAATTGCCATAAGAACAATTTCTTTCTGCCAGAATATTCTGCGCTATACCTTTCTTTCCTTTAATTTTCCTTCTTTTATTTTTTCTCTCAAGACTTGGGAGTTCAGGAGAAGATCCATCCTGAGGAGATAAAGAAAATTGAATAATATTAAATTATTTTAAATTATAAAAATATATAAAGGTCATTAGCCAGGAGAGGAAAAAAGACTTCTAAAATAGTCATACGTTATTCCTCATTATTGCTACTACCTCTAACAGGACAGCAGGAGTCTCATGTACATGGTATGAACTCAAATATTAGTTGAATGAATTTATCGGATAAAAGAAAAAAATAGACTCTATGATCAAGTACCTTCCTAGCATCCTAGAAACAGTAAAGCCAATGGGGCTTAGGCAAAGCATTTCACCTTGGTGAAGCAGGGACATAGACAGAAGGATGGACAAAGCCAGTAATAAATATAGCTGATTTCATTGCGGCATAATTTCTACTTTAAACTTCAGAAAGAAAATCTTCACAACAAAAAGCTAAACAGTTTATGAGACAGGCCCAAAATATTAGCTTTGCCATAGGACAATCTCTCATCCAACAATATCCACTACAGTGTCTAGTTCAAAGGGGCAGAGTTGGAATTTGAACCCAGGTCTATAATACATGCCCTTAACTACTTGGCTATATATTACCTCAGTATAAAGGAAATAGCCTATTTTCTCACAGTGCCAGATTCCAGACTATACTACCACCAGCAACTCTTTCTTTTCAGAAAGGGTTCCTAAAAGGGTTAAGCAGTATTAGCAACAGAGATGCCAGAAGAGAAGTGGTGTCAGTAAAGGAATGGATTCTGAAAGGGACAGGCTAGATAACTGAAGTACAAAAGACAGACAGAGACTAAAAATATTTCTAAGACTATGCTCATATGCCCTCTAATAGTACTAAAACTACCTTAGTGTTAAGCCTAGTAGTCCTGGGTCCAACAAGCATACATGCCCTACAAATACAAATGCAACACTAGAATGCCTTTCCCCAGTAGCAGCATAGAATGCATCATGAAAACAGATCAAGTTACAGCTGAAGATGTGGCTTACTCCTTGGTCCGGTGATACAAAGAATCACTGGCTTGGAGACTAGTTTTAGAGATGACTTCTTATTTTCCTCGTACTGTACCTTCATATTTAATTACATTTAACTCTGTAGAATTACTCAGTGAAAGAAACCAGCAGAATAAGAATATGAAAGTAACAGCCTCACAAATCTTCTGTGCCAGAGTATTCCAACCCCTGATACCCAAGAAAAATCAAACAGTTAAATCTTTCTTATAACAGCCAAGTCACCATATGAAATGCTCTAAAAAAAGCACAGGGAACCATACTCACTCCAGTGGCTCTTCGTTTCTTTCTAATACTCTGGCCATCATTTTGTTCAGCACCAGAGGTACAGCTACTATCTGTGGCTGCATCCGCCAAACCAGAGATTGCAAGCGCTGAGGATGCATTTGATGATAAAGAGTTTCCTTCTCCATTACTCTCCTGGGCATTCTGATTCTCTGAAGGTGGTGTAGAACTCTCCTGGCTGTTCAGGTCTTTTGCCAAATGCATCAAAGGTATTGTACAGTCAGAGGATAATTGCGCACTATGTCGTCTTCGAGTAGCAACATTTTCAGCCCTTTCACCTTGTCTTAGGGAGGCAGCCAGAGGTGTCACTTCCTGCTTGAGGCCCATGGTTGTTTTCTGACTCTGTGCAGCCCTCAATGAGTTACTAGGTGGAAAAATCTGCTGGGGCTCATTTTCTTTGCCTGTACCTTCCTCACTGAAGAAGCTATACACAGAAGGAGCCCTGTCCATGATGACGCTGCTCTCAGAAAGGCTTCGCTTCCTTGCCAACCCAGGGGATGAAGAAATGGAAACGCCTTCCCAGTGGAATCCTTCTAGATTGGACAGATCAGGATCCCCATCCAAATCTAAGACCTCTTGTTCGTTTTGAACTAGAGGCACCATTTCTATGCCAAACCTTAAGAAAGAAAGAAAAAATCATAAATCAGACATGGTTGGGGGAGGGAAGGCACCACTTAATGTGCCAGACTCTGTTAAGCATTGAGGTCATAAATATACATAGGATGGTTTCTGCTCTCAAGGAGCTCAGTCTAATAAGAGTTCAGATATAAAGTAAATAACTACATTATAAGTATTGTAACAAAACAAGTACTAAATTAGAGATTTGTATACAGCTATGAGAATGCATTTAAGGGAGTAAAAATTGAAGGTTTTATTTAACATGGAGCTTTAAACCACCAATAATATGTAATTATTAACAGCAAACAAACCAAAAACAAAAATGTTTATTGAGCATTCACAAGTGCCAGGCACCATTTATAATCTCAATAATACTCACACATTATGTGAAGAGGGGCACAATAAATACAATATTTCGATACAGATAGAAATTTAAGCCTAGAGCGCTATATAATTATAATACAGCAGGATGATTTTCAAGTAGCAAACCTATGTTGAACGCTGCTTTACCATTCAAAACGTTTAGTATCTCAACATAAGATGAACAGCCAAAATATTACACAAGTGCTTAAGAGAAAGTATTTTGTGATCATAAATATAACTCCCAGAGTAAATACAGAAGGTTAACTATCCATAGGTTCCAAGTAAAAGGTAATGAGAATAGTTACACTTAAAAGTTGTACCACTCATGAAGATCTAGAGATAGATACAGATTTTACAGGCATACTTTTTTTATGCTGTCACTTTCTGGCCCCTATAACCAAAGTGCTGGATTTCTGATGATTTTTTTCCATGAAGGGGGTAGGCTACTTTTCTCAGAAGTAGGTGTGCTTCTTTTTAACCTGAATCCCCTGCTAGGAAACACTTTATTCCATTTGTTATATAGAGTAGCACTGACTGCTACTCTACATAATGTAGGTAATACTTATATGTAGATGATATTTAATGTAGATATTTAAATGTAGATGATATTTAAACCAGACATCTACAAAGTATATTTTTGCAAATATTTAATTAAATGTAACAAATAGAATTCTCTTGACCAGGGCCAAGGTTTAAAAAAATGAAAGAGAAATGGACACTGAAAAGAGGCACACACCTGGGTAAGCCTTTGCCTAGCTCTTGCTTTTTCTTGGTTACTTGCTGAATGACCTGTTCCCAGTTGACGTTTCTCCGAGATGCATTTAGAATCTGCCGAAGGGTTGGCTTTAGCCCAGACTCCTTCTCTGTCTCACTCTTTCGATGACCGCTAATATTGCGAATGCGGCGAGCACTATTGAGGTTTGGCTCTGGCAGGTGTGCTCCAGTTTTGCTCTTCAAACTAATGTGCCGGGTTAGATCTCTCTGGAGCGAGGCAGGAAAGCCAAGCTTACTCAGTTCAGGCAGGAGAGGGCCTGAGGGTTGACCTATATCACTTTTCTGAAGCTCTGCATCCAAGCTCGTACTCTCAAAACCTTCTGTTTCATAAGACACAGGAGATTTAACAAGGTCATCAGCCTGTGCATCTTCTAGAGAGCTTTTCAAGTCTAGCAGTAAGCCAGAGTGTGGACTGGCTGCAGATGTCATTTGTAGCTCAGATTCTTTCTGGTGAACTGTTGAATTACATGGCGAAGCGGATAGTTTTCTAGATGTTTTCAGGTTCTGGTCATCCCCCTCGTTCTTATCAGCAGCGTGAGTGCTGCAGGATAAAACTTCTGTAGTTGCAGAACCCAGGGTTCCAATTTTTGCTCCATGCTTTTCTGTGTCAGATATCTCTCCATCACTTTCTTCTTGCAATGCGTGTACTTGAAACTCAATCTTCAAAGATCCTTTTTCAGACTCTTCTACATTCCTACTTGCTTTTGCATAGTTCCTGGTCTTTTTAGAAGTGCTAAGAAGTGGATTTTGCAAAGACTCATGACATTGTAGCACTTCTTTGACTTTTTGTAATGTATCACTTAAATTTTCATCAGGTTCCCTCTGAGTGCCAAATGTACTTTTATTCCCTATTGAAACACGAGGACATGAACTTCGCAATTTGGATATGTAAGAAGAACCATGATTGTCTTCCATAGTGGGTTTGTTTAAGGGATTTGAGTGTTCTCCAGGAAAAAAAGAATTCATCTTGGTATTTTTTGAGGGATTCTTTGAATCTTGCTTTTGAGGAACTGATTTAGTGACTGGAATTGGAAGGAGTGGGGATTTTAATGTCGGCATCTTATTTAAGCTATGCTCTTGTTCAGGTTTTTCTGTAATGGGGCATTCTCTCACCACCTCATAGGAAGCAGTGCAGTCAGAAGTGGCTTTGTGATTAAGAGATCCAGTATGTGTTTCTTTTCGTGTTTTCAGCATTGGGGAATTATTTGTTTCATCAATTTGGGGCTCTTGTATTCCTGTGGTTGTCAAGCTAAAATCAAAGAAAGGCTTATCTATCATTTCTGACTTGTTACCAGTGACTTCTTTCTTTCCTGACTGTAAATCCAGAGTCTTCTGGGAAGGGTAAGGTGTCCAGCGACGGAGCTTTTCCCTCGCTATGCTGCCATTCTTTCCACCAATTTTGGAAGCTATGGTGTCTGTTTGTTTAGTGTCTTGGCTTTCCAGCTGCTCAAAATTGAAGTCAAATAAGCCTTCTGAAGGAAATTTATCACTTGTAAATCCTTCAGAAGGATCTCCATATGTGGCAACCGTACCAACTTTGTCATTTTCTTGCCGCTGCCAATTATATCTCTCTTGATTGTATTTGTTTGACTTAGATTTCTTGTTCCATGGCATACTCATGTCTGCCATTTGACAGTTAGAATTTCTGTTTCTGCCTGGTTGAAATTTGTCTCCGGGGCCACTGTAATTCCAACCATTTGTACTACGGACACTGGATTTCCAGTTTCCATTACTGCTGTTCACATGCCAACTGGAAAAGCCACCTGTTCCTTCAGAATGCCAACTGGAATTCCTTCCTGTACCACTATGATTCCAATCTACTGTTCCACTATTTGAATGCCAACCACCTCCAGAATTACTGTGGTTGTGAAACCAAGTTGAGGAGCCTCCCGCAACACCCTTATGCCACCCGGAACATCCTCTTGGTCCACCACTATTCCTCAAAGAATGTGAAAAGCTGTTTTTCCTAGTATTGTTAAAGCCATCTTTCTCCCATTTCCATTCCCGCTGAGGAGGTCCACGATGATGCCATGCTGGCTGACTGTAGCTCTCTCTGTCTTGGTAAGGGATTCGGTCTTCTCGTCTCCATTGGGGTCGCCTGTCATCAGAGTTTATTTCTTGGCTGCTATTGGAAGGTTCATCTTGTCTGGAAGAAAAACAGTTTCTCATTAGTGATGTAAAGGAATTCTTATGCTCCCTTTAAAGGCATAACCCGCCACACTTCCCCACTACCTCCTTCCTCTGTTACTTAGAATATGTAATAGAGTCTATTTTTATTTCTAATAGTGGTTGCTTTCATATCTTTAAATGATATAGTTACTTATATTTCATAACTTATTGATTTAGAAATTAAACAATATCTTGTTTCTCCTATCATCCCAGAAATACTAAAAATTAGACACATTTACACTATCCTCCCTTTCCTGCTCCTGTTTTTCTTGGCATGTCCCAGGATTTCATCCCTGTCTATCATCCAATTGCTATTTTTACATTATGCAGCTTTTTGAAAATAGGAACAATTATATTTCACAGCCATGATTAGTTATCATAGTTAATACAATACAGTTGCTCTTAATATCATGACTTCAGTTGTTGGTTCTTTCTGAAAAACCCAGTTTCTTAATCTATTTTAAATGGTAAGATTATACTTTGCATAATCATTTTCATTAATAAATACTTTATCAAACACATTCAATGACTGTTAATGGTGAGAGAAAATTTTATGTATAGTTCCTGTTCCTGAAGGGCTTACAACCTCACTGGGGAAATAGGGTCACAAGCAGGAGTAAAAAAGGATACAAATAAGTAGCACCCACAGTAAGTGCTACAAGGAGCTCCACAAGCTAGAGGTTTTTATAAAGAAGCTACAGCTGTCTGAACTATTCATGTTAGACAAGGAGCCCACAGAAATGTGAATAAATTTAAGCAAACATCACAGAATAGGTATAAAACCATTTTCCTCTACAAACTGCCTATGGTATGCCCTAGCACAGTGCTTACCATATGGTAGGTGCTCAAAAAATTGAGCTTGCTAAAAATACTTGCTAAAATTTATTGAGTACCTACTGATTGTCAGGCATTTAGTGCTAAGCACTTAATATAGATTATCTCATTTAATTTTGACAACTCTGAAGCAAGATTCTTATTATTCCTACTTTTCAGATGAGGAAATTGAGGATTCGAGAGGTTAAGTATCTTGTGTAGAATAAAACAGCCTGTAAGTGGTGTGGCAGAGATCTGAACCTTGAGAGTCTCACTCCAGAGTCTACACTCTTAACCACTAGGCCTTGATAGAATGAAAATCCCAAAACAAAGTTTCTACAGTTGAGTTCCCTCCACTGAACTTGACTTACATCTTATACTCAGTACTGACTTTTAAAAGCTTCTAATGTCTGTAAGATTTTGGTCACAAATTGGAATTTCCTCTTTTCTCACAAGATGGAATTAAAAGTCAATTTACCTGAAAGTTCAAACATCCACTTACATTATGAATTACAGCCATTTCTAAACAGGAGTCCTAAGTCCCCAAGTGACAAGTGCTATCACACACACTTGCAGGATTTTTGTACCACCTTTAACCAAACAGCTTTTCTCTTTCGCTTCTAAGCGGTATGCAACTTTTGACACCCAAGAAGAGCAATGACTCGCTATACTAATGTGATCCAGAAATGGGAGGAAAATTGGGCAACAAATCAGTCACAAAGCAGAATTCCTAGACCATCATGAATTTGCCAGATCAAGGGGACAACAGCATGCAGCTAAGACCACAGCCCAGAAAGAACAATCTAAATTAAAAACCTTGGGCCGGCCCCGTGGCTTAGCGGTTGGGTGTGTGCGCTCCGCTGCTGGCGGCCCGGGTTCGGATCCCGGGTGCACACTGACGCACTGCTTGTCCGGCCATGCTGAGGCCGCGTCCCACGTGCAGCAACTGGAAGGATGTGCAACTATGACATGCAACTATCTATTGGGGCTTTGGGGGGAAAAAAATAAAATAAAATAAATTAAAAACCTCATGAAGGAAAAAAGAAAAAAACCTCGTGAAGAAATAAGCAGATGACTTTATAAAGAGGTCACCAAAGAGGTATATCAGAATACTCAAAGAATATTAACTATGATATGAAGGTCTGATTTACTGAAAACCTCTTCTACCCTCTGACTTAATGTTTAATCATTTACACAGATAATAATGACATAAATGTGGAAGAACAAGAATAGAAGTTAGTCTCCTAGAGGCTCCAACACCCTAAAACAAGAATAAACTACAGCTATACTGAAAGTAGTGAGAATGTCATTTGAAGGACTAAGCAACTGAACGATTTAAGACCACGCTGCTACTGACATTTTAAGACTAAGAAAGTCTCTTTCAAGGACTTGTTCAAAAAACCTCTAACATATAAAGCAAAAACTACTTCCCTTTTATATTTAAACTTCTAACTAAAAATGAAGTACAGACCAGATATAACTAGTATTGAAGAAAGATCTTTAAAATTTTTCTTTTAGTTTGAAATGTTTCTCATCATGTCCTATGACTTGAAAAATTACCCCACCTCATAACTGGTTCTGTCTCTCTCTTACTCATACCTGAAAATTTCTGCTTCATTAATTAAACTCTTTAGATCACAAATCAGTAACGTAAAAATACAAAAGCCTAATACCTGAATTATAGATGTAGGTATGAAATTATGTAGGACAAGCTGAAAAACATATTTCTCAATCTTGACACTGTCAAACTTAAAAAAATTGTTTCAATATTTACTGAAGCACTAGCTAATGAAAGGATAAATGAAATTTGGTAGAAGCACTGTGTTAATTCACATCAAGGAAGTATTTTTTCTTAAAGATGCAATAAGAAATACTATATAATATATTCAAGTGAAGTTTATACACTAATACTTTTCCACTAGATAATTTGGATACCAAATAAAAACAATTTACTGGTGTCCAAAACAATGTGGAAGCAATAAAAACAGTTCTAAACAGTTATCAACATGGTAAATATTTCAGATATGTAGCAGCTATAGCTAGCTTTTATGTAGGGACAATACTGAGTTTGTTTTTTTTAAAGCAGATAGTACAGTAGTTCAAGAAAGCATTCCATTGACCTTTTACGCATAAGACAGCAATTTCAAGCTAAACTTTATAACTAAGTTTGAAAGCTACAGGCTGAGAAGTATGGAAATGGAAAATGTATTCTCTATCATATTCTATTTCAGATAGGTTTTAAAAATCAACGTCATTACTCACCGACTTTGTTCTTTCCTTTGTTTTATTAACTGAACGAGTTCCTTGTCAAAATAATCTTCTTCTTCTTCTTCTCCCTTTCCACCATCTTCTCTTTCCTGGGCATCAACGTTATCTTTATGCAACTGGCCAGAAATGTGCTTTGCGTATGCAGAGAGACCCACTTCTGTGACCCCGCACACTCGGCACTCATGACTACTGTCCCTAGGGAAAGAGGGAGATGAGGGACATTCAATTCTCCCCACTGGCATGGCACACTCACCAGATCTGTTATCGTTTCCTCTGAAAGACACTGCACACTTTGGCACAGTGAAAAATTAGTGCTAATCAATTTCAATGCTCCTTTCATCACTTTTAATAAGTTTGTTCGTAAGTTATTTTTGAAATGAATTTAAGATTCTTTTCCAGCAATCAAGAGGCAATACACTTCAGAATAATGTAGTTTAGGAGGAGAAATCTTCTTGAATTGCTGTACTTAAAATCTTGCCAGAGGAAACATGGTGAAAGGGGAGGCAGGGCAGGGGGCTCAGAGCAAACAGGAGTTGCTCTGAAGCACACCCATGGCACCAGCTGCACTCAGACAGCCTGGTGACAGCGCTTACATTTAACCTCTGGCTCAAGAGCTTTCACCCAGTGAAAGTTAAGGGGTGGAGAAAAGAGTGGGCATCGTAGCCAATCCCAACAGGGTAACAAAATCCGAACAGCTGGAGCTCTGCCCGGAATGTGAAGATTCTGGACCCCAGGGCAAATGATAGGAGTAGTCTCAGCAAACTTTTTTGGTCTGGATGATACATGTGATCTACATTCTGCTTCAGAAGGGCTTATTTTAAAGGGAATGGAAAGCATTTCAGTTGTAGGAAGTTGACAGCTGTGCTAGGCAAATGGTTTTTCTCAAGTTTCAGAAAATACTACAGTTTAGAGAGAAGCAAAACCAGGTTCTTAGTTAAGGAAGTAAATTGGGAAGGATTTTTTTCCTTTTACTTTACACATTTAATGGTAAATCTCATACTTGGCCAGTTTAAGAAGTCAAAGTCTTGAATCAATGTCCAGAGCTGCAGTAGATGAATTATTTAACTGCTTTTTTAGCTTCCTGAAATCCCTTGATTGGTTCAGCTGCCCATGCAGTCACTGATGAGAAACATCTGAACACCACAGCCACAAGTATAATGAATGGGCAGTAATATCAATTCAATAATCCAAATTGGTTTAACTCTGTATCAGTTGTCTTGGGTTTATACTAGTGGTATTTTTGCACTTCCTATGCCAAGCTATAAAAAAAAAAGTCAACACAAAAAGACATGCTGTCTTCGATAAGACAGACAGACAGACACGCGCACACACACACACACACACACACACACACACACACACACAACACCGCTCCATCTTCCCCTCAAATATATCTACCGAGACATGGCAGAATTAATCATCAATTAACCAGAAGAGACCCTCAAAACTGAGCACTTTATTTACTAGAACATGGTTTCTGTTACAGATCATCTGAACATTCACTCAAAAAAAAAAAAAACTTATTGAGCAACTACTAAATTCCAGGCACCATGCTAAGAATATGGTTACAGTTGTCTAGGGTGACCAAGTATAAATAAACAATGCCCAGTAAATTTAAAAAACAAACAAAAAAAAAAACACTGTTTTTTACTTTGTAAGAATCATGGAAAACATCTCAGCAAAACGGAAAATTCATAAGTTTTCACCTTTTTTGGACTTTGTAACCTCAAATGCTCTGGATACACTATAGTCTTTGACATTAAGATTTATTTTAAGGAGTCCTGACCATGTTTCCTGAAAATATCATTACCTGATTACCCTGAATATCAATATTCTAATTCGTTCTAATCCTCCAGGAATTTAAATACATTATTTTCACTGAAAGTTTTCCAGTTACTTACTACATTTATATATTTAAAGAAGAATAATCCTCAACTTTCTCCAGTTTACCAGGGATATTCAGACTCTTCTCTCAAGCAATTAAAATTATGGTAGCTCATTCAAAGTGAACATTAATTTGTAACAGAAAACAAGCCTTTCCTCACAGCAACACAGAAATAAGTTAAAAATATATAAATATAAATCTGTCCACAGTGGGCAGCATCAGAAGAATCTGAAAACTGTCACTAACCTAGAATACATAATTTATAATATAATAAAAATTTGAATCAAGTGAATTTTCAGGTTAGAAAATCGTTTTGGCTTTAAACTCTCTAAAACTATGGGAAATGTTTTAGTCCACTTTGCTACCTAAAAACTTATAAAATGTTCAACTATATATTGCAGTATCAGGGACATCATTCTGAAAGGTATTCTTAAATAAAATCCCTGATTTCACCCTTCTAAAATGCAGAGAATTTTTCTCATGTCCAAACCATCAAAATCCCTCTCTCTTTAAAGACATAACTGGAAGGCCACACTGACTTTTTCAAATATTAAGGAATGCAGTGTAAAGTAGACAGCATTTAACTCTGTTAAAAATAAACATCCATAATCATAAACCCACACACTTTGCAATCCCCAAAGCACAAGCATATGTTGGATATGTAACAGACACTAGAACACAGATTTTTAGAATATTTTTGCTTTCCTTTCAAGAAAGAATATTAACGACAGTTTCAAAGTTATTTGATAGAAAAGCACCTCAAGAGATCCTGCCCAGAAGGGTACAGGCAGTAAGTACAACATAAAAGTTAACACTAAAAACAATTTATCAAAAAACAGAAATCTCTAACATTTTTCTTATAAATGAAATCTAGTTAAAAAAAAAAAAGAGAGAGAGAGAGAGATAAGCTTTACAAAAAACTTCGAAAAAAGAAAAGAGAGAATCCACATTCATCCAGGAAAGAACAAGGTAGGTCAACCACACCTCTTGAAAACTCAAATGTGGGGCCCGCCCCGTGGCTTAGCGGTTGGGTACGCGCGCTCCGCTGCTGGCAGCCCAGGTTCGGGGCCTGGGCGCGCACCGACACACCGCTTCTCTGGCCATGCTGAGGCCATGTCCCACGTACAGCAACTAGAAGGATGTGCGGATGTGCAACTATGACATACAGCTATCTACTGGGGCTTTGGGGGAAAAATAAATAAATAAAACTATTAAAAAAAAAAAGAAAACTCAAGTGTGTCTGTTCTGGAAGCAAGTATATTCCCTGTTCCACACACAATACACATTCACCCTTCCTCATATGGTGTTTGGGAAATCACATGTTTTAAAAAGTCAACAGCAAATTAAATAATATTTTAATGGTGCTATTTTCCAATTCTTTATCAGTAACCTGTTAAAATACTTACTACTTTGTATAAATATATAAAGTAATTGTTGGGGAAAAAAATACTGCTTTACTCCTTCACTAATAAAGGCAAAAATTTTTTCCTCAGAGCGTTTAAAGGAGGGCCCAAATTAGCTTCATCCTGTTACCACACAATTTCCTCTCCTGTGTACAAGGCAAAGCCTTAAGATATTCCATCCATAAGCTTTTCTTTATTAAGCTTGCTCTAACTATACCACAACAGCTGGTTGATAAATAAAGGTTTGTGCCTTTTTAATAGCCTCTATCTGTAGAAATTACTTACAGGCCACACATCTGAACAAGTATATTAGGGGAAAATAGGGAAGTACTCCAGATATCCACAATTGTGAACCAAATAAGACAAGTTACTTCTCAATCAAGCTTGCACTCAAAAAAGAAAAAAACATGCTCTTTACATTTCTTAACCAGATCACAACCAAACATTATAGTGACAAAACATAAAGAGAAACAGAAAGCCTTAACATCAAAAAGCCAGTAATTAAACACAAAATCCAGAGAAAATAATCACAAACTGATGATAGGAAGATAAAAGAATAATGACTGATAACTGTCCCTATGGTACAAACTAGTGGTAACAGTTTGTCACTACAGTAAATGCTCCAGGTAAGTAAATGATTTCTGAGATTTCTGTTGGTTTCTTATAATTATGTCAGCTGTCTTTCCTTGCTATCTGCTTACCTTCTCCCTTGTAATTGGTTACAGGCCAGGAAACTATATAAAACTTGTTAGCACTGTATCTAAAATATGAGAAAATAACCACTAAAGTGCTCTCCTCTAAATAAAATGAGTTTGGGGGCCAGCCTGGTGCTGTAATGGTTAAGTTCGGCATTCTCCACTTCAGCGGCCCAGGATCGCAGGTGCACACCTACACTACTCATCAAGCCATGCTGTGGCAGTGACTCACATACAAAATAGAAGAAGACTGGCACGGATGTTAGCTCAGGGCCACTCTTCCTCAAGCAAAAAAAGGAAGATTGGCAACAGGTGTTAGCTCTGGGTCAGTCTTCCTCACCAAAAAAAAAAGTTTGGGTGCTAAAGCTGACATTTATATTATGAGCTCAGAGGCTTCTAAGGCTTTCTCCTTGATTATTTGACTTTGCCCTAAATAAGTGAAAATGGTAGACAAAATCTCCACAGCACAGTTAAATTGATGGGTTAGAGCAGAGGAAAAACAAGTTACAGAACAATACATGTATGGCATGTGGTTTAGGTATGCTAATAAGACAAAACAAAATGTGTGTGTACATATAAATATAAATCTATGTATACACACAGAAAGAGGTTTGGGTAGGATACACACCCAACTGTTGACTTTCCTCTAAGAGGGGAGTACCATTGTGGGGGGTGGGGGAGGTGAGAGAGGATTTTTTTTACTTTTTATGATTCTGTATTGATTATGAACATGAATCTTAAGTAACTGAAATTTGCTTTTTAAACGTTTTAAATAGCTGATTAGTGATCTTTGAATAAAATAAGGCATTAGTCTGGAATAAAATGGGCTTTTCTCCTAATGTCTAGATTTACTGACCTCATTTGTTTGACTTTATAATATAGTCAGGTGGCAGGTAAATAGCCAGAAAAAGGTGAATTCCAGAAGGAGGTCTGTTGGAAATGGAATTAAGTCATTAAGATAATCCACATATAGATAATCAAAGGGTGACCATAATTCATAGGTTTCCAAAGATAATGAGTTCAAGATCATATATATCCAAGGTATGATAAGGGCTCTCCACACTAAATTTGAGTGAAAGCCTCTTTACACTGGTGCTAAGACCTAACCTTCACACAGTAAGGGACTGAGACCACGGAAAAATTCCACTGATACGCTAAACGGATGCTGAAAGTTTAATAACATATTAATTTGCCCACATAATCTAAAACTGTAATACTTAAAATACAAATAATTTCAAATGACTTAGGTTAGCATCCTGATCAAAGCTTGTAACTATTATTCATGGAATAAGATATAATTAATATTTCTCAGTTTCCCAATGTTTCTCTGTTCCATACTTCTCCAAACTCCCAATTCACACAACTTCAAAAACATCAAAAAAGGAACCATTGCAGCTGGCCCTGTGGCCAAGTGGTTAAAGTTCTGCACACTCCGCTTCAGTGGCCCAGGGTTTGCGGGTTTGGATCTCGGGCACTGACCTATACCAGTCATCAGCCACGCTGTGGCAGCGACCCACATACAAAATAGAGGAAGACTGGCACAGATGTTAGCACAGGGCTAATCTTCCTCAAGCAAAAAAAAGAGGAAGATTAGCAACAGATGTTAGTTCAGAGAGACTCTTCCTCAGCAAAAAAAAAAAGGAACCATACATAGGGAAAAAAAGACATGGAATATACACATATGCTACACTTAATGTTTTATAGGTACTTATTAGATTTTCTTTCCTTAAACATCTCAAGCTTTACATCACAAAAATAGCATTCTTAAATACTCAAAGTACTTTGATTATATTTACACTAATAGGATTCGGCACTAAATAGCTCAATTTGGACTTCTCAGACTATTTCAGCAACACCAAAAGTTTATGGCATGCAGTAATCTGTGACTCTGCTGAGGCATAATATGAAATGTCCTAGTTGCAAGGCTGGTGTGCAGGAATGAGAAAGCTTCCTAATCAGAGAACTAGCTCATCCCAACCCACCTTTGTTGTAATCTACTTAGCTAAAGCTGCTGTGAATTCTACACACTTGAGATGCATGAAGATTTATCCTTCTGAATGCCAAAGAAAACTACTGTACTTGTTATTAATTCTAAAAGATAGTTCTATGCCATAAGACAATATTTATCTAAGGATTACTATAAAATAAGCTGACAGGCACCATCAGCATTCAGATCCCCCCACATTCACAAGTTTATGGAATACAGCCGTTCCCATACCTGCCCTTCAGGTTCTCAAGTTCCCTGTGATGCAACATGCTCCGCATGTGTTCGTCCATCTCCTTCAAAATTAAAGAAAGCAGATTAAACTAAGCGGGATTGCTTTGGGGGAAAAAAAAATTCCTCTGTTCCTATTCAATCAACAATTGGGACTCAAGCTCCTTGTGTCAAAAGTGTTTGTTGTGGTTACTCTTCTCATTTAACATCGAAATCAGTTCCTTATTAATTCTTTAGCTGTCTTTTTGACATATTTCATTTTTAAATAAAGGAATTGTTAAGAAAGAAATAGACTTATTTAAGTGGCTTTCCAAAAAGGTTAGAAAGTATGTTGTCTTTACAAGGCAAAAGACTTAAGAATAAACTATGTGGGTTAAATTCTAACCCAATATAAGGAATTTACTAAAGTTTATTTTAAAAAAACAACACTTTGGAATCACTTAACTTCTCAACTATTTGGTTACTTTTCTCCCCACTCAACTGAGAGTTTCTCAAGAGGATGTTACAACTCTTACTCATGCCTTGGCCAGGGCCTGGCATACAGTTGTCAATATTTGTTGAATGAACAGATGGATACATCAATTCTAGACAGAAGTTACGAATATAACAGAACTTCTCTATGGTTGATCAGGAAGTTTTTTAAAACTACTTTTAACACAGCAGCTCAATCATGCCTTCATCGTCACTGCCCACTCTCTCCCAGTTTATTTGTTTGGTTCTAATGAAAAGTTCGAAAATTTACTAGGTTCTCCCCTCCCTCCATCCTACCCTTAGTGGCAAGAAAATAAAGTCTGTGGGAAGAGCTTCCACTTAAAAACATGCGTGCGCACATGCACACACACCTCAAAAAACTCAAAAAGTTGTAAATGTCTACCCTTTTGTCACACCAAAGTACATATAGCCAGCACGCCATAATTAGAGAATGGCTGTTATATATATAATAAAAGGGCTATTACTATTAACTGTGCCCTGTGCTTAAGTGCCTCAAACACTTTCTCACTTGAACTGCAAAACACTGCCGAAGGAATATGATTAACTTCATAAAGACACAAGGATGTAGAGAAGCTAACTCATTTCTTGACCAAATATTTATCAAGTGCTTATTATGTGCCAAGTACAGAACGAGGCACTGAAGGGATAAGTGTGAAAACATTTACAGTCTTGCCCTCTCAGAATCATAGATAATAAAGTGGTCAAACCAGGACTCAAACCCTGGCAGATCTGACACCAAAGCCACTGTTTCAAAAGCCATGTCACACTATAAGTATCTACTGCATTCAGATTTTTAGTTACACACAGTTCATTTGTCAAAAAGAGTACAACAACCTATTCCTATTTTCAGTTATCTACTACAGTGTGACAAACAGGGTTGTGATTCAAAACACTCCCTTTAAATGGCAATTTTACTGAAGATGACCATCATTTCCTTTCTTTCTCTACAAATGCTTCATTTGGAGGGGACAGCTTTACATGTGACCCCTTCTAGCTACAAATGATTGCCCACTAACTATAGCGAACACTTGCAGAGCTGAAAACTGAGTAGAGTTAGTGACATAACATGGAATGAAAAAAATCCATGAACAATACACAACACCTGCTCACATTCCTATGCTTCCTGTTGTTCAATTTTTCCTTGGATTAGATTTACATATGCCAAATCCCCTTTTCTTGACCTTAATTTAAGTGAACTCTGTTTCTTGCAATGAAACCATTCCCGATCAAAACAGTATTCATTGAAATGGATTGTTCTCTCTAATATAAAAACCAATTCTATATTCTATTTCAGTTATAAAAATGTTATCATTCAAAACGAATTTTAACATGACTTTTAACTTTTAACTTCACAAATCTTTTCCTAAATTCACATGCGAAATTCTCTCTATCCTGCTCCAAGGAATGAATGCAAATAGTGAGACAACCGAGCTTTCAAAAAAATTAGGAAAGATCCACAGGCACAGGATTGAAGTAATAGCTCCAAATGCATACCTGCTCAGTTAACAAGCTTCTATTTAGTTCCTTGTATATTAATCAGTGTTATGTTTTTAAAAGGAGGGAGAGAAAGGGGGGAAAAAAGGATTTGGTGGTTGAACAAATTTGGAAAACCTTGAATAATACAAAAAAAATTTTTTTATATTTTTTAACTCCAGGGTTTCTCAGACTTTCATAAGTTAACAAGCATCAGGATACTCAGGGATATAGTGTACAGCTTTTTCTTATACTTAAGTCATCCTAAATCCTCTTCTCCTCCCATAGTGTATTTGGAGAAACCAGGGTTATACTAGTTCGGGAAACTAGAGGAAAGCACTACTTCAACATAAGTTGTTCACAACCTATCTGAAAACAAGTATCCGAGTTAACCCTTTCAAATAATCCATTCTGCTAATTTCTTAGACCATATTAATCTTAACCCTTAAATCATGCCATGCCCTTGCTTAAAACCCTATAGCTGGCTTTCCCTAAGACAGGAGTGGATAATCTCAGCCCTTGATTTAACTTCATTATGATCCATGGAAAAGTAAGAAGAGATGAAAACATGTTTTAAATTAGAGTAGAAGAAATGCCAAAAAGACTTAAAATAGCAAAATTATGAGATATCACAAGATAGGGCTGCTGTTTCACGGAAGTCTGAGCCCACACCTGAGTATCTGCCCATCCATCTCACACCTTCTCAATTCCCATCTCCCTCCAATCTGAAAGTAGCCACAAAGAATTTCCATTTATTGGAAATGTGTATAAACCCTGGTCTAAATTTTTAAGACTAGAAGAGCAGCTCTTTTACTTTTGTAAAAGGCAGCAGGAATATTATTAAACATGATTTTAAAATCTCAACTGATTTTTCTGTCAGTAACAGAAATCCTAAACAGGAAAAAAAAAAAATTCTTCACCCCAGCCTACTGAATGGATCATAATCGAAGCCCTCAGCCTGGCATTCAACACTGTTTATACGCTGTCTTCACTTACATTACAAACTAAACTGCAGTCCCACTATTCCCAAGATGAAACTGTTCTAATCAGATGAGCCTTCTTACCAACTCCTAGAACTGTTATACTCCATTCTATCTCGGTATCTTTGTACATGTTGTTCTCCCATCTAAATTCTCTCTTCTCTGTTTCTTTTAAACCATCTTACTCCCAAACATCTTTCGAAGTTCACTCATACTTCCCGGGCTAATCTAGCTCATGATAATCTTCCCAGGTTCCTGAATTTCCAATGCCAATCAAGAATATCTTAAAAGTATAGAGAAAAAATTCTTCAGTACTTAAGCTAGCAGCACTACTTTGAAAGCAAAGGATAAAGGCAAGAAAAAGTGAGACAAACTGCTTTTCTGAGGCACAGGTAAATTCTTTTAGTTCTTAAAAATGTCTGTTTTTCTTTGAGCAACAACCTCACCCTGTGGCCATCTAGGCTATTGTTAATACCATTTCTGCTGAGCTGCACTCTTCACAGGCACAGGCAGAAACAGAATGCAGTCCATATAATAAATGTATACTCAGCTAATTAGAAAGTAGTATAACCGCAAATAAACAGAATTTTAAGGTATTTTCTCTATAACTGGTTAATAACTCAATTTCTCTTTATTATCTATACTTTTGAGTATCCTCAAATTCTGGGTAGAGGTTTAATAATATAGTTAGTTACTGGATTTATGAGGCAGTAATGAGAAAGAAACCAGTGGAATGAGACTATGGTTTCAGAAAGAAGCATGAATAAGATGTTGTTAGAGCTTTTACCCATCTATAAATTCCAAATGATGTGTCTGAAAAAAGGGTCAGTCACAAAGTCTTAGATTCACCTTCTATTATTACCTTTTTTGAGCCGTACACAATGTGGCACAATATGCATTTTCGTTCTCGTACCATACTGACGATCTGAAGCACTCAACGTCACACCTGCAATGAGGAAGTAACATTTAGTAACCTTTTTACCCAGATGTCTTCTTAGATTCATCTTAACATAGCGAAAAAAACAAGTCTTGCATCTCCATCATCTCCACCCTGCTCCTCCCCTAGTCTTCTCATCTTGGTAAACGAAAATTCCAACTTTCCAGGTACTTAGGGCAAAAACTTTGGGAGTCATCCTTAGTCCTCTTTCTTACCCCATATCCACCCTCATCAGCAAATCCTGTCAGGTCTACCTTGAAATATATCCAAAATCCAGCCATTCCTCACTACTTAGCACATCTATCGTCTCACATGGCACTAGCCCACTGACCTGACTCCCTACTTCCACTCTTATTCTCTTATAATCTATTTTGAAGACAGGAGCCAAAGACTCTCAGAACAGGATTCTTTCAAAATATAAGTCAGATCATATAACTCCTCTGCTCAGAATCTTCCAATCGATTCCCAGTTCACTCACAGAAAATCCAAAGTCCTTTGCCATGGGCTATAAAATCTGTTTCTCACTACTCTCGGACTCCATGCTCTACCCGTCTCCCTCTACCACTCCATTCCAGTCACACTGCCCTCCTTGCTATTCCTTGATCACACCAGGGATTCTCCTACCTTAGGGCTTCTATATTTCCTGTTCTCTGTGCCTGGAATACTCTTCCTTAAGATGTCTTTATGGTTCTCACGGCTTACTCTCTTATGTTGCCTCATTGGAGAGGCCTTCCCTGACCTCCTAGAGAATACTATACTTTCTGCCCCCCATTTCCTCAATCCCATGAACTTGCTTAATTTTTTTTTTAATAGCACTATGGTAGAGTGTTCCCACAGATGGTATCAACACTAGCTCCCACCCTATGTGCTCAACGTGATCTTGTCATCACCGCCCATCAAAACGTAGAGTCTATTTTCCCTCTCCTTTGACCTGTTTTGACCAATAAAATGCAGTGGAAGTGACAATGTAATTTCTGAGACTGGGCCTTACAAGAGCTGCAGCTTCTGCCTTTGCACACTTGGAACACTCCCTCTTGGCACCCAGCCATCATGCCGTGAGAGGCCCAAGCGGCAAGGAGAGGCCAAGGGGAAAAGAGCTGAGGCCTCAGCTGAGCACCCAGACAACAACCAGGACCGTCTGACAGCCATGCTGGGTGAGTGAGCCGCGTCGGGTGTTCCAGGCCCAGCTGCCAATCAGGGACCCCAAGCCAGACCCGTTAAAGAACCATGAAGTTGAGCCCTTTTCAACCCACAGAATTGTAAGAAACAATAAAACAGCTGTAAGCCAGTACATTTTGGGGTAATTTGTCACACAGTGAGAGATATCTGAAACAAGCATACTTTACTACCTGACATAGTCTGCATTTATTTGTTACTCTCTATTTCCTCCAATTAAAAATTAAGTTCCACGAGAACAGGGACTTTGTATATTATGTTCACTGGTACAGGTCTAGCACTTAGAACAGTGTCTGGCAAATAAGAGGCACTCCATAGGTATCTGTTGAATTGTTCCAAATGGAACTATCTTGGGTTACTAAATGTGAGATAGAGAGAGTCGGGTAAATACTGGGGTTTGAATTAAGACCAGAAGGTTTTTTATTTTACAATCCCCTAGCACTAGTCTACTTTCCTCTCGAGTCCCCACAAGAATTCTCTACATGAGAATTTAATTCCATTCCCCAAGCAGCATTGTTTTCCCCTCCACACACACAACACCAAGCTCTAATAGATATATCTGCTTCCTCGTCTGGCTTTCTTCCTTGGGGACCTAAAACTGTGAGGTAATGAAGTTATAAGCTACCCCAATTTAATCTATCACTCCTAGACAACATGGTAGAAGGGCCCATGGGAAGAGGTCTAAGGTTCTCTGCTTCTCCTGTTCACTCAGCAGCACTTGAGACCACTATTGAATGTCTGAAATAATTTTATTCAGTAACAAAGTACAAAACACCAAAATAAGATTACAGGGTAAAATTTTGCACATTTGAGAAAACTAAATGTCATCTAGCTAATAAAACAGAGAAATATATCCCTATGGATAGGTACAGTATTATTTATGCTTCCAGTGCTGCTAATAATCTCCTAAATCTCAAAATTAACGTACATCACTCTGGTGCTAAGTCTCAAAGCATAATTACTCTTTTAATTCCCTTATATCTTAACATTTACTTCTACTTTAATTACATGCAGTATTTTGTTATTTCATTCAACAAGCATTTATTGAGCACCAAGCACTGTTCTAAGAGTTAGGGAAACAGTGGTAAAGAAGATAAGTCCAGATATGTTCTTAACACTGCTTCAAGTTATTAACCATCAAAGCAAAACAGAAATAAAAAACTTAGAAAAATTAAGTCAATGAAAAAGAGTGATTTTCTGGCACAAGCAACAGTAGTTATTGTGGAGTTTTTATATATTTACTCAATTGAGAACTGAAGCACTAAAATACAAACTTTGTTTCTATTTAATAAAGCCAAAGACATAAACTCCTAGTAAATGGATAAAGAAATAAAGCCATATAATAAAATATTCTCTATCAACGTTTTAACTAAAGGGTCCCTCTTTTGATTTTTTCCTTTCACAAGCTCCATGTGTCTAATCCGCATGTATTAATTCACTTTCACTTCTGTAAACAAATAAAAAAGTGTAACTGCTAGCAAAGTATTTAATCAATAAGGAAGACCTCACATTTAAACACTGAGTTGATGGGGCCAGCCTGGCAGCGTAGCGGTTAAGTTGGCGCACTCCACTTTGGCGGCCCGGGGTTCTCGGGTTTAGATCCTGGGCGCGGACCAACGCACCGCTTGTCAAGCCATGCTGTGGCAGCGTCCCACATAAAGTAGAAGAAGATGGGGATGGATGTTAGCCCAGGGCCAATCTTCCTCAGCAAAAAGAAGAGGATTGGCAACAGATGTTAGCTCAGGGCTAGTCTTCCTCAAAAATAAAATAAAATAAATAAAATAAACACTGAGTTGATAAGATTCCAGGCAAAGACAAAGGAATTTTAATGTGTACATCCTTAAACTGGGTAAATATATGATTTCTACTAAGCTTTCTGAAAGACTGAAATTAGCTCACAGCCTTCTAGATGGGCACCATTGCTCTCTTTAAAGATCTTAACAAGGATCAGAAGCCAAAGAAGTAGAAACCATCCAACTCGGCAATCTCAAAGTGCTTGAGAGGTTACACTATGCAAGTCAAGTAAGCGTAAACAAACAATTCAATCACTGCTATCCTCACTTCAACCACCTTACATTTTCCCCCATATCATTTAGATATATCCACTATGAAATCTTTCAAATTTTCTCCAAATAACTATGAGAAATATCTGTGATATTTCTTAGTCATAATAGCCTAAAAAATCCTATAATAAATACCTTTTCTCCACATTCTAATTATTATTCTGCCAATACGATTACCAATCTTCTCCCTTTAGCCAACTGCTCTACTCACTAACGTTTCCTGCTTGACTCCTGCCCCCAATATATAAACAAGTTCTAAACCCAAGCAGTACATGAGAATCACTCACATAGCTTATTAATAAAAAGAAATACAGTTGTGCAGGTGGAGTAGAACGACTGCATTAGAACCTGCAGAGACTCCATTCTGTACTTCGTTATGCTCTCCCCATCCTTACATGGGGCAGTCATTCACAAGTGACTTACACTGTCAGCAAGACAGCCTTCCAAGTAACCACTATTTGATAACACTGTAGTTTATCTCAAACATCAATGTCAGAAATACTTCTCCAAATATTTATTGTTACTCAAGGCTGAAAAGCACCATTTAGTGTCAAAGAACTTTATTTGAAACATTGTCACATTACCCCATTTTATTGTTAAAACAACCTGCAAAATAAGTAAGACCAGCTGTTTGATGGTAGGTATGTCTGATCTCCCTCACCTTACCAAGAGGAAGAGATCTCTCCTTTTATAGACCTCATAACCTCATTACAAGAAACTCAGTAGTACTTAAGGTATCTGAACTTTGACATAATTAAAGCCAACTCAGACTCTATATGTCAATAATATACTGTAAAATATACTTAAGAAAAAAAAAGCTTAACTATTGTTTTTTTTGGGCAAGTGGGGAGTGGTACTCAGATTAGAATTCCTTTTCTGATTCCACAGGTAACTTTCTATGTCTCTACCTTAACCCCAACAGAAAACTAACGGATTTCTGGCAAGCACGACATGGCAACAGAGAGAAGTGTGTTCAGTGATAGAACAAGTTTTTGCCACCACCCCTAGGCTGCTCAGATGGTTATGGAACAAAGATATGCCTGGCACTTCTGGGAGGTCCTCACTTTGCTGAGTGCACCTCCCCAGAAAGTTCCAAGGCTCCTAGGTATGTATGGCAGGAGTTTTAGTAAGCTAACAACAGAGGTCAGGAAGTATTTTTGGGCACATCAACCTACAACCACAACATTCAAAGGCTTATTCTGGGTAGCTGTCCTGTTTGCTAGTTCTAAGTTCTGGCTGGCTCCTGTTTCCCAAGGCAAGTGATTGGGAGTTTCCTGCATCCACTATCGTTGACAGAACATAAACTCATAAGCATTTTACTCACTAGCATTCCTACTTTTTATATTATCTGCCCTAACACAACACCTAGCAGTATATGTACCAACCACTCTTTATTAGTAAGCACAGGGCTAAAACAAAGACAGGAAGTTAAGGCTGTGACTCAGGAAAAGGGATTAAAAGTCAAGCCTCCAGCAAATGAAGCTGTTCATATTGCCCATCACCAGGCAAGGAAATAGGGCAGACCACGGTCTGATTCCTTAACTCAGAATTGGACCTACTGTCAGGTTCCAATTCCTCACTCAATTCTGGAACTTGCCAAGCATTATGTCCTAGAGAAAAAAATGACTGCAAAAGAAACTGAGGTAACATCAACCCTAAAAAGGTAATAAAAATACTAGCAAAAGTTATCATCATATAACAGAGTAAGCCATAAGCCCAAAGATAGCTTGTACAAACACTGTTTTAAAAGTATAACTGAGTAGTCTGTTG